GATCATAGCTAAGGGGAAGCATACTACTATTAAAAGTGATAAGATTATTACTAGTTCATAGTTACTTAGGCTTTATAGTACAAGTTACCTTCTTGTGCTTTTTCTCTTTACAATAGAGTGGGGATGGAGAGTTTATTTATTTAGAAGTTAGTAGAGAAAGGAAGAGGCTAATTAGCGATAGGAAGTATAAGAACCTTCAAATTAGCTACCTTAGATAGAGAATAATTATGCTTCCTCCTTTAATTTATATTTCTTCTTAAAAGTCTTTATGCTAGTGCCTTATTCTTTAATTGATCTAGCTAATAGGTAATAACTTAGGGAATAGGGAGCTGTTTACTCTATCGAATCAAGTTATAATATTTTAAGTAGCATTAAAAGCCCAGTTAGATCTCAGAAACTTAATATAATTAGGCTAGGTACCTAAGTTACTTTACGTTATAAGGAGTTAGTGTGTTTATTTATATATTACTATTATAACTAGAGTCCCTAATTACGCTACTATACGCTTTTAATAAGTAGAGAATTTATTATTTATAAGGCTAATTATATTATTTATTTATATACTTATAAGGCTAAAATCCTTATTATTAAGTAATAAAATAAGTAGGTAAGGGTTAAAGGTTAATAAATCTATTTAGAGATTCTCTTTATAATAGTAGTTATATATAGCCTACTAGTAAGTCCTAACTATTCCCTAAATAGTTCTTTTAACTAATAGTTATAAGTAATTACTATCCTTATATAAGGTAAGTGCTTAGTAAATACTAATAAGTACTTACTTTTATAATTACTAGTAATTAACTTATCTTATAATTACTTCTTTATCTTTATATAACTTATACTATAGTTCTTTTATTTTAAGGAGCTATCTGTCTATTCCTTATTTCTTGTCTATATAAATACTGTTACTACTTATTATCTGTCTATTAGGTAGGGTAATATAGCCTGTAACTTATTAGGTTATAATACCTACTTATAAGACACCACTATATCTAAGATATTATTATTACTATTATTACTACTACTATTACTACTTATTTTACTATCTTTACTGCCTACTTATATATAACTTTTAGCCTTACTAGGTAATTTAGATACCTTAGATTTATCTAGACTATTTATATTACTAGCATCTAGACTTTATGTCTAGATTATATTCTTTATAGTAGTAAAGGTACTATTAGGTAATAAATAGACCTTTTTCTTCTTATATAACTATATATTATCTAACTAGGCCTATAATAAGTTAACTTACCTTTCTAAAAAGACTACTTTAGATACTAACTTATTATATCCTTTTTTACCTTTCTAGATAAGTAATAAATAATATAGGTATCTAACTTATCCTTACCTAGCTAGGTTAACTAGTATAATTAATATTATAAATTAGTAAATTTATAAAAGGTTAACTATAAGATAATAGATTTAACTTTATCTTACTATTAGCTACTAGACTACTAGCTAGCCTAGCTAGCCTAGCTAGCCTACTAGGCCTTAGTAGCTAGTACGTTAAATAGAAGGTACCTTCTAGATACTAGCTATAACCTAGTAGCCCTCTAGCTACTCTTAATATTAATATTTATAATAGATGCCTTATAGGCCTTAAAATAACACTCTAGAAATACCTTTTTGCTAGTAATAGTTAAATCTGTTACCTAGTTATCTAGACATCTAACCCTCTAGTAATAGGCCTACTTTAATAGGCTAAAGACAGCTATATCTAAAGGCTAGAGGACAGTAGAGGTGTATAGTAGTAAAAATAATAAATAGATATAATACTATTAGTATTTTTATATAAAGTTAATAGTTATATAGCTATAATACTTATTAAGAACTAGTAGTCTAGCCTCCTCTAGCTAGGTAGGCCTAGTATATAAAATAAAGACCTCCTCTAGCTATTTAAGGGTAGTATTATTAGTTATCTAGCTATTATCTATTACTATAAATTACTAAGCCTTATATCTAGATAAGTTAGATAGGTTAGATATAAACTACTAGGCCTAAAGTAACTTACCCTAAGGGAGGTAAGGAGCTACTAGTAGTAGATATACACTTAATAATAGATACCTATACTTAGGATCCTAGCTGCTTTTTCTAGATATATTATAATATTATAAAGCCTAACACTAGCCTATTAACTCCCTTACCCTTTATAATACTAGTCTTATCTATATTCTATCTGTTAGATAGATAGATACCCTAGATAGTAAGGATACTACTAAGGCAATAAAAGAAATCCTAGATAACCTTAGGGGAATAAGCTGCTTATTACTAGGTATTAATTACTTTAGATTAGAGGGTTCTAATAGATAGATTTTACTATATAAATTAAGCTATCTATTTTCTACTTATAAGAGGATATTTATTACTTATTATATACTTTACTAGGCCTTTTACTTATTAATAAATAATCTACTTACTAAGAGAAGCTTAAAGAGATATATAGGCAGCTAGATTATCCTCTTAGGCCTAAGATAAGTGTTATATATAGGTAAAAGCAGTATCCCTACTTTACTACCTATAGTATTAATAATAAAGTAACTAGTATAATATACCTTATTTAAAAGTAGTAGCCTAGATACTATACCTATCTTATATATCTAGAAAGGCCTAATAAAGCTTATCTTTAGTATATTACTTTATAATAGGTTAAAGAAGGTATCTTAAAAAAATAGCGTTATTTAGTTATATATATAAAATGTTATAATAGTTTTAAAAAGGTAGTAATGTTAATAAAGAAGGAGAAATACAGAATTTTTAGATGTCTTAGAAGTAGGAGTGTCTTAGATGTAGGGTAGGGGAGTTAAGTACTAAAAAAGCCTCTCTTACTTTATTTAAGCTATTAAGCTAGGCTTTTTTATTAGTTTAAAAATTTTAAAGCTAGGTTACTAAAAGATATAGTAAACTATTATAACTAAGATATTTATATCTAGCTTACTTTAAAGCTTACTAGTAATATTAGTATATATTTTTTTCTTATTATATTAGTTAGAATAAAACTTTATAATAATAAGCTTAGCTACTATAGGTATAGCCTTCTTTAGTTAACTAGTATAGAAGGTATTATTAATATTTAGGTTATAAAGAGAACGTAGAAGTAGTTAGATTAAAGCTATATTTTTATACTTATAGAAGTATATTATAATAGTTAAAGAGATAAAAAAGTATTATTATTATTATTATTATTATTATTATTATTATTATTATTATTATTATTATTATTATTATTATCATTATTATTATTATTATTATTATTATTATTATTATTATTATTATTATTATTATTATTATTATTATTATTATTATTATTATTATTATTATTATTATTATTATTATTATTATTATTATTATTATTATTATTATTATTATTATTATTATTATTATTATTATTATTATTATTATTATTATTATTATTATTATTATTATTATTATTATTATTATTATTATTATTATTATTATTATTACCTTCTTTTTAGCCTCTTTTAGCCCTTATAGAGAAGAAAGTAAGGAAAATAGTAATCTTTTTAGATCTTTAATTAGCTATAAAAGCTTTTATATTATAGGTCTATATATATAAAAAATAAAGAATAGAAAGATCTAGAGCTATATATAGCTAACTTGCGCGCGCTTTTAAGCAGGCTAGTAGGTTACATAGGCTCTTTTAGGTCTTATAATTTATAGTATAACAGTAGGTCCTACTAGCTAGAGTTACTTTAAGTAGTTAGGTATAGTCTTTTAAAACATACCTCTATAGGAAATTTATCTTAAGTAAATAGTATAAGTGTAAAGCTATAAAAAAGTTTTTAAGCTTTTTTATATAGTAAATATAAAAGAATAGTACTAAGTATATAAGTGTTAAGGTTTACTAGTAGTTTACTAGTAACTACTAACTTTTTAATATCTTATATAACTTCTTTATTTATAAACTAAAAATAATAATAAAGGATTTTTATATACTTTATACTTAGAAGACTATATATATACTACTATATAAAAGATATTTATAGCTTATTAATAAGTTATTAGTAATATTAGATTTTACTAGTAAAGTCTTTTTAGTAATAAGTCTACTTTTAAAATAACTAAGTATATAAAATACTTAAAAAATCTAAGTAAAAGTATTAAAAGCTAGATTATTTTAAAGTAATTTATTACTATTTTACTATACTTATAACTTTCTTTTATTAGCTATATTCTTATATACTATAAATCTTTAAAGCCTTTATTTTATAGCTATTTACTAAAAAATACTATATTCTCTCTAAAGCTTATAGTAATAGTCTACTTTTTAAGAGCTTATATAGGGAAATCTAGGATTATTAGTCTAATAGGTGTGTAGATATAAGTTGCTGTTTTTAGCTGTTTTTGGTAGGGAAAGGCGAGCGGAATACAGGGGGGGGCAGAAAGTAGGTAGTTTGACTTACGAGAAATATGCTGTCACCAACCTCATGTGTGGGCAGAGTAGAACCCACGTATCCACGCGACATTCTAAGCATCGTCCTTCCCTATCCAGCGGTAGCATCAAAGAGCCAAGAAGTGTTCTCAAAATACCCCCTAGCTCCGTATGCCGATGTGATGTATGTATTCCGTATGGCAAGAAGGACTTTCCCAATCCGGACTCCAACTTTGCGTTCATACTGAATAGTCCCAGTCATTTTACGTACGATCACACCCATCTCAGCTCTAAATACGAGTAGCCGAGGAGAGGAGTTTGGCCCAGTGCGTCAATTCATCACGAGAAACAAAAGTTTCCTGCAGGGTCGGTGGGCTTGACTGACCGGGAATATATCACCAGCCACAGGTCGTGCAAAATAGCAATCTAGCTCTTAATTACGCTGATTATCAAAACATCGCTATGGTTTAGCTCGCCTTCATCGTACAAATCCGACCGACTGAGCTGTCTAATGTGGCACAGCGGGAGCGGCTTGTGCGTTCTGCGTAGGGCAAAACTTCTTCTTGATGGCTCCAATATCACCATTGGCATCCAGTGTGCCCAGCAGATTAGAGAGCTCGCCCATACGCTGAGCAATCGAGACAAACATGCCAGCTGGGAGAACGAGGTCAGCCATTGTGCAACAAAGATAGCATGCGAGACGTGGACGAACCTTCGGCGTGCCAGAGATAGTGACAGTGGAAAGCCCAGACCCCAGGGTTGTCTGCAAGAATGCGAATCACAATATGCGAAAAGCCAGGTATTGTGATCGTGTCACGACGCATTGGGTTGTCAAAGTTCCAGGTCGTCTTAGTGGCCCCGAACAAACCCTTGCCCCATCCGATGACTTGGAAGTTTTGACCTAAAGTCGGTTAGTTGCTACAAACATCATAAGAGGCAGGGTATGCCGAGTTCGTACCACTGGAGACTAGTTAGTTCTGGGTCTCTCCTCGGAATCGAATGGGCATCCACTTACTGCAAGTGCCAAGGGTGAACCATCATAGCGTCAGAATTCACCACAATTTGCGCAGCCTTGTTGTCCTGGGAAACCAAAACGAACTGGTCCTGTCCAAAATCCAACTTCGGCTCCGGCGAGTTTAGGTTCTCCGGTGTGATATCCTGCTGCAAAACTTTCCAAAGCGATGCGTCGTCCTTGAGTGGGGTGTATAGAGTCTGTGGCCATTAGTGGATTTCCATGTAATTCTTTTGCGGACGGGCGGGCTCACCTTGTTCACATGAGTGCGAACGACGTCCCCTACGCGGTCTTGTCTAAACGTAAAGTAGTGATGGTTCCTCTCCCCAACATCGTACGCAGGCCTGTTTCTCATCGGCTTTGGAAGGTCGAACGGCAGATCCTCGCATCTCTTCCCCCATGGCTCCTTGCCGATTTGCAGGTTCGACTTGCTTTCCAGGTCCCATGCCTTTCCAATGGGCGCGACGCCGACATCCGTCTCATCGTATGATAGGATGGCGGTAGCACCAAAGGGCTTACCATGCATCCCCGACATGGCTTCGTTGGTCTTGTGAGACATGTGAAAGCATCGGATGGCTGCGTCTGCACGGATCAGGTAGTTTCCAGCGGTCTGGTTAGCGTTGACGATGACAGAGTAACGCTGGCCAGGGTTCATATAAACGCGTGTGGTCGCGATCGGGGCCACTTCGACCCCGTCAATCTCGATAATCTCAAGAGTATGGTTGTCGACAGTCACAACTATCGGGGTCGATGTGCCATGGTTAATAAGACGCAATCGAGCCTTCGATCCGCTCTTGATGCGCGTATTGAAGAGAGAGCCCCCGGTACACTTGGAATCTCTTGCCGAGTTGTGGTCTCCCATGTGATGGCCACTGTGCTCTTCGCTAGACTTTCCGTCGCCTGCGTTGTGGGATGCCACACTAGAACAGTTGAAGGTGTTCATGCCATTGATGATAACGTTGTCCGGTGGAGGCTCTCTACCCGGTTTCTTGGGAGCCCACGGTGGAGTGGCGCTCAGGTACTGAGAAAGGAGCTGGATGGTGTGTTAGATATGTATCATGGTGGTGACTTGCATTGCGAAAGGTTTGCCTACAGTGTCTGCATATTCGTGGAATAGGTCTCCAACCATAAGAATCTTATCGTCATCTATATGTGGTATTTGTTCATCAGGGTCATGGATAATCTAGGCAAAAGGTTAGTGACGACGTTTTCAGCACAGGCTCCATCATGAGCATCAGTAGTGTGGGAGTAACCGGGAGATAAAGGGCTGTCTCACCAGAGGTCCAAAGAGTCCATCCGTGACTTGAACCGAAACGTGAGCGTGCCACCAAAACGTCCCTCGTTGGTCGGTGACGTTGAACTCGTAAGTGAAACTTTCCCCCGGAGGAATGGCGCATTGAGTAATTCCCTGAACACCGTCCATCCACACGGAATTTCTCTGATCGATGCCGTGCCAGTGAATCGTTGTGCTCTCCTCCAACATGTGGTTGTGAACCGTGACGCGGATCGTGTCACCGGTATTTGCTTCAATGAGGGGTCCAGGGGATTGGCCGTTCACTTTGATCATCGACTTCTCAAACCCATCAGGCGAGTGCTGTGCGCGAGTGATGTTGAACACATACTCCCGCAGTGAAGTCATATTAGAAATAGCGAATCCAGTCTTTAGGTTGAATTCCTGTTCCGGCGTCAACTTGACCGACGGTGTCTGCGTAGGGGCCAAGGACAAGGTGGTTGTAGGCGTAATTGACGTTGTCAATTCCGGAACTGGCTCAGGCGCTGGCGGCGGCGCTGGCGGACTTTCTTGCTGCTGTTCGCTTGCTTCATCGTGAGAAGGCTCCGATGGCTGCGCCTTGGATTGTACGTTGAAGAATTGAGCAAAAATGAAGGGAATGAGTGTCAGAATGGAAATGCAAGTGAGGACCATAATCCACCTGAAGGTTTTCTTGTGGCCCGCATAGCGTTTGTAGTTGTCCTTCTCACTGAATCCGGCTGCGTCGGATAGCAATCGGTCCTCCACATCAGTGTCTGAAAACGATCTGACCCCGAGCATGGGGTGCTGCTCCTCGCCTGTCCCGTCCCGCGGGACTAGACCAGAGCTCATGGTTGCGGCTCTAGAGAATGAAAGCAAAAAAAAAGGGCTTTACTGGCAATGTACAATCAAACCGAATACAAGACAGAATGAGGGAATATGAACAGGGCAAGGAGCAGAGTGCACCAGGCGACTAGCGATCGATATTCGCCATTCGACTCTGCGACGTTGTTAACAGGAAACACGAAGAAACAAAGGACCACGTGGTAAAAGGGGTAAATCCGAGGATAAAACAGAGCCACCGACCACTCGTACGATGACGGGACCCTCTCTTTTTGCTTATATCCGAGCAGCATGCACTTGGCGAGACGGGGCAGAACCTCCGCAGCCATGACTGGTAATGCGTCTAGCAGCTCGTTAATTGCAAATGTCTGTTTATTGAGTGAGGTAAACTTCACTGTGAACGTACTCCGTACATGACCACCACATAATGAAGCTTCCGAACTTTCCGCTGCTCCATTTATTATATGTGCGTCAGCCTTGATATCATCATTTTAATCCCCTCTTTTTTTCAGTGCACAGCGCTTTGGGTTGCCGAGGTGCCGAGTTAACTTTCAAGTCGACGGTGCTTCAAAATGTTCGGCAAATTCCGGTTACAGCCGATTTATGCTTTACTTCATCTTTTGCACATTACGCATACTGTACAACACAGTTCCAGAAACTCGATGGGTAGTGGAGGTTAGATTCTCGAGGATCTGCAGGCCAATGGGGATCTTACCACCAACATTCGCTGAGTCTCCTTCCCATCCAGCGCCTAAAAATCATCCTGTCTCAGATTCTCGCGCTAATGCGTCAGATGTTTCATTCACACGGTGTTCACCCTTCACGCCGGAAGGCCGGGCGGTACGATCCGATGTTCCAACGAGTCTACGGATACGGTTGTAAACATCTCGGTATCGACTGCGATACGCGTCGTATTTTCTCTCTAAACTCATATACGGTTTTGACGCCTCGACGATTTTCTGATGAATGGTACACGAAAGGTGCAATCTGTTTATATGCATAACCACAATAAAGCCTAGGACCAAACTCTGGTGGCACAGGAATACTTCAAAGCTTATTTGTCGATTCCCGCAGTAAGGCATGAGCGACAACTTTTCAATATCTAGAATAGCTGGGGGCCTTCGTGCAAAGATCTTTTGACGACTGACAAGAGACCGGCGCGGTCATCTATTCTACTGAAACTCCCAAGAGTAAGTAGCAAGTAGCTCTCTTCTACTTTATATCCAGCGCATCAAACATGATCAAGACATTGAAAGCTGATGTAGTTCAAAAAGACTTTGCGTAACGTATTTGGTCTACCCACCCCCTTGCATGGCGAATCATGTTGCTCTTGCTTGGCACCTCAAATGCGATTGTGGGATATTAGCGAGGCTCTAATATTCAACGGCATTCCTCTTTTATCACCTCGAGTCATCGTATATATATTTATTATGCTTATCGATGTACACAGACAAGACAGACATCTTGGCGGTGCACTGATTGTGCAACCTGGTTGAAAGTATCCCACAATGGAAATGAGCGAGTCTGCTCATATCTCGTTTATCTGATTTGTTGTCGTGTCGGAGGATGCACCATAAGTCTATCTTGATTTTGCACTTGCATCATTCTTCTTCCGGACCGGGCAAATCTGCAAGTCGGTCAGTTGCTCTCAAATGTCCATACACTCTCCTGGCTTTGTGTTTATTTACTAACTTGACCGTGCAGGGGGTAAGTGGATTTCCAAAGGCCCTTCCATTTGAACCTTTGCTATCGACTAGGTGGGCAGCAAAACACCTAATCGTTTTACTTTCCACGGGAGTACCAAGTGGAGTTTGAAAAATGACTTGCTTGCTTCCTACAGCTGGTGTTTCTCGTCATGGATCGAAGAGGTCAAAAATGCATCGGACGTAACACCTAGCAGGGGTATGGCCGAGGTTAACAATTCGTGTGGCTGAGCATAAAATGGCGACTGAGAGTACGGATACCTGATGTAGCATTAATCCCTACGTTTGTTTGTCAAACGACTCGCTAATTATCATTTGCGGGTCGAGCCTACAGATATGGAACGCTACAAAGCGGCACGGAATCGCTCCGCGGGGTCCGACGATATGCCATCCCCGCGCGGCTATGGTGTTGTTTGGCACCACGAGGAAGACTCTGGGTCCACAGTCTCGTAAGAGGGGCTCAGTACTCCATAAGTAGCAAGAAGTTCACTGAAACAAAAGCCTCATCCCTTCTCCCCGCCTTATCTGCGTCCCTCTTCCAGCGACTCCTTTCTCTTCTACAGCCACTGTAGTAAACATTCAAGATGGTTCAAGTAAACGGAAGGTGCGATCCTAAGTTTCAAGGGGTCAGCAAGAAATTTCAAGAACTTCTCGAATCTGGACAAGAACTGGGAGCTTCCCTTACTGTCAAAATCGATGGCGAACAGGTTGTCAACATATGGGGAGGCTATGCAGACGCCAAGCGCACCCGCCCCTGGAACGAAGACACAATTGTCAACGTCTTTTCAACGACTAAGACCATTTCTGCCCTTGCCGTTCTTCTTCTCATCAACGACGGAGAACTCTCCCCGTACGACAAAGTATCGAAATACTGGCCAGAGTTCGCTGTGAACGGGAAAGAAAACATCGAAGTCCGTCACCTGCTATCACATACTTCGGGTCTTGCAGTCTTCGAGGATCCAATCACGATGCAAGAGTTGTGCGACTTCGATGCAACCGTCTCAAGGCTGGAGAAGCAGCCGCCACGCTGGGAACCGGGCACAGCTTCGGGGTACCACACCTGGACGTATGGTTACCTGATCGGAGAGCTTGTGCGCCGGAAGACAGGATTGACTCTTCGTGAGTTTGTGGCTCAAAAAATCGCAGCCCCCCTCAATGCCGACTTCCAGATTGGCGCCAAGGAGGAAGACTGGCCCCGTATCGCAGAACTGGTCCCTCCTCCCCTTCCTCCTGCCAACTTCATATCGCCGCCTAAGGTGGACCCCGACTCTATGTCAGCTAAAATGATGAATCCTACTCCGGACGCTAGTTTCGCCCACACAGAGCTATGGAGAAGAGCAGATATCGGCGCCGCAAACGGTCACTCGAACAGTCAAGCGATCGCCAAAATATGGTCAAGAGCCCTCACGGTTGCTGACGAAAGCCAAAGGCTACTTTCGAAAGAAACAATTGATCTCATCTTCACTGAGCAGTCATACGGTCCCGACCTTTGCTTCGGTATCCCCATCCGGTTTGGAACTGGTCTCGGTATCAGAGGAAACGGCGATGCGGTCGTTGACTCTTGGATACCTGAGGGCAGGCTTTGCTTCTGGGGAGGTTGGGGCGGTTCAATCATCATCAATGACGTTGATCGCCATATTACTATTGCCTACGCAATGAACAAGATGGACCCTGGCACTGCAGGAAATGGTGCTGTGAGGTCTTACGTTGCGGAGATTTACAAGGCTTTAGGGGTGCCTATTTCAAATGCGAATGGTAAGCCATGAGATATTATCAAGAGGAATAACTGTCTGTAAATAATCTCAAGGCTTTATAAAACTATGGTAAGGTAGATAGATGTAGACAATTGCGTCATTAAAGCTACGTTTTCTTACATGGTCAATCACAAAGAGGTCTGCCGAAGCCTAAGTCAAGCCAAGCCAGGAGGCTTTGAACACGAATGATAATGATTGCCCATGACAATGTGTAAGAAGAAATAATGTAAGGGGGGAGGGCCTAGAAGAAACCAATGTGACAATGTGCTTCTTGTGAATATGGTACAGAGGATCTTTTGATATTGAGAGCCCAACCTAGCAATATCAAGTCCAATCGTTTTTTCAGCGTCTAAATCACGATTCGAAATATTTTTGAATATTTATTTGTTCTCCCCCACCTCTTGTCTTTACTACGATCCCCAAGCCGCTTTCCCGTCACCGTGTTCCTGGGTGGCTGCCTTTGGACATGCTAATTATGTGTCATGATAGCTTCACGTCATCATGACTGGTACTTGGCATCAGCTCCGCTGTGCGCCTTATTACGTCACGTTTCACTCATTACTCGCATCACTTGCTTATATATAGGATCCCTCTCTTCACATTATTTCCTTCTTAGAATTAAGCTATTGACTATGGGCATCACATACCAGGCCGGAAGTGCGTTATTTCTTCTAGATCTCTCATATAGCATCTCTTGTGCCAAAAAGCATATAAATACCGCATATATGTGGGCACATATACTGGACCCATAAGAATACCCTGGCCGTCGGCTCAGACTTCCCCATGATAAAGACATCTCTGATTCTGATTCTCATATGGCCCACTGTGTGTTCTACTCGTGACAATATGTATGTTGACGCATGCATCGCATAACATTAAGAATCATTCGCTAACAGACTTGATTGCTTGAGTGTCGCGACAGTCAAAGAATTGTTCGGCTTTTTGCAGGCAGTTGGCAAAAAATACCGACAATTGCCACAGTAAGCGAAGAGAACGCTGCGGTTAGGATGCTGACGATTCTGATTCGAAAGGGGCGCGTCCATCTCGGATGAATGTCCAGAAACGGGTGCAATCCCCAGGGTACAAACAAGCAAGGACTCAAACGCGAGAATCCTTCTCAGGATCTTGGTAATAAGCTAAGAGACTAGTCATAAGTTTAATTAGCAATGCTACATACCTGCATTGGTGCTTACTTAAATGCATGAGCTATTGCTAGACTTGGAAGAACTTCACCACGGCTTTTTCTTTTTCAACAAGTACGCAGCAGTAGCTCGCATACAGGCGGGGAATTGCCTTCTCCAAGCGCGTTAGGTTGACGATGAGCAGCTCTCTGGCATATATCTTAGCGAGGTCCGCTTCTTGACTCAACCAGTTGCGTTGTACTTGCTTCCACAACTTTGAAATTCTACCTTGCGTCGAACCTACTGAAAGTGTTCCTGTACTGACGTGAAGCCGTCTTCTAAACATGCGACCTTCAACACTCGCCTTTCTCGGCGTTAGCGCTGCCTCTTTTGCGCAAGCCAGATCAACCTCCCGCTCAACTGACCCCAGTTTAGACCGGCAAACTTCCGACGACCTCCAACGGATGGCTAGTCTCGCGCAGGCTGCCTTCGAAGATACTAAGTCGCAGATCGAAACCGGTGAAGTCCAGAAGCGTGGGGGTACTTGCACATGGAACAATGTTCGAATCCGCAGGGAATGGTCAGTGACCCGCTTTCGCAGCCCGATCCGAGATCTCTGTCTGGGTGAGGCGTGCGTTTCTAATGAGTACATTAACGGTTAACTTTGTTTTCCAGGGGCTCGCTGAGCAGACAAGACAAGCTCGATTACATCGAAGCGGTCAAATGTCTGCAATCTAAGCCTTCTCGCACCCCGTCATCGGAGGCGGCAGGTGCGAAGACAAGGTTTGATGACTTTTTGGCAACCCACATCAACCAGACCACGACAATACACTACACCGTGAGTTGATATGTCACTTTCTGGATACACGTACTCTGCCTTACATGCTGGTGTAGGGCAACTTCTTGTCTTGGCATCGGTACTTCACCTGGTTGTACGAAGAAGCTCTCCGCAACGAGTGCGGCTACCAGGGCACCCAGCCGGTGAGTTCTTGCCGAATGTCCATCTTGCGCCGGCCTTGATTAATGTTCTGATTACCGCAGTACTGGGATTGGCCCAAGACAGCAATCACCGGTATGGAAAAATCGCCCATCTTCGACGGGAGCGAAACTTCCATCTCTGGAAATGGCGAATTCATCCCTGGGCGTGAATCGATTGTTCTCGGAGCTGCACAGGGCCTGCCTCCGATTTACCTTCCTGTCGGTACCGGCGGGGGATGCGTGACCTCGGGGCCCTTTAAGGATATGGTTGTCAACCTTGGCCCTGCTGCCCTAGACTTGCCCGGTGGTGTTGTCGAGTCGAGTCCTGGGGGACCCCTCTCTTATAACCCTCGCTGCCTCAAGCGTGATCTGACGACGGAGGTCAACCGTGTCTTCGCCAACATCACCTCCGTGCTGTCCAACATCCTTCAGCCCCAAAATGTGTACGACTTTCAAATGCAAATGCAAGGTGTCCCAGGCAGTGGCAGCATTGGTATGTTCATTTTTGATCCATGCGATTTCATGATTATAGAATCGCTTCTGACCAATTTTGTGCCAGGCATTCACGGTGGCGGCCATTACGCTCTTGGAGGAGACCCTGGAAGAGGTAAGAATGCACTCCTCTGATACACTTGGCTGTTCAAATAGGCTGACTCTCGTCAATAGACGTCTTCACTTCGCCAGGTGATCCGGTTTTCTACCTTCACCATTCTATGATTGACCGAGTATGGTGGATGTGGCAGATGCTTTCGCCTCAGGAGAGGCAATACGGCGAGACTGCTCTTGCCGGAACCAACACGTTTTTGGATCAGCCTCCCAGTGCCAACGCGACCATGGATGATTTCTTGGGGTATGGATACGTTGGCGCAGAGCCCATCAAGATCCGGGACACTATGAGCACTGTTGCAGGACCATTCTGCTACGTATATCTTTGAGGAGGATCGGTTCCGTTCCGTGATAGTCGCTTATGATCTCATGATCACTGTATGCAAACTTAACCTTCGAAGTAAATAGTAGCATTCCACATCAGCATTAATTTCGAATCGTGATCCCGTTCGTGCTTATCAAAAGCTGGGCGTGACTACTTAGAGAGCTTGATATTGCCGAAGTGGGTAAACCCTCTTAACCTTTGTTGCTATATTAGTCTTGGATATTCAGCTATAACATTTAATCACTCAGGAGAAGGAAAAACCCCCTCAATTCGACAGATGTTGTTGGGAGGTCCGAATGTTGACGACTTGTTGAGATGATAGATTTCATTCTACCTACTTGCACCCAGAAAGCCGCAGGAGTATCTAGGCTTGGAGGCAATGTTCGGCGCTCTTCAGGAATCCCCGGACCATGTAAGTTCAGATTGCGAACGGTGGGTACAGTACGCCGAGGGCAGCGGGACCCTATACCTTGAATTTGGATTTCGATCCATAGCCACGTTCTAATTTGGGCACCGTCCTCTCCGGAGGGTTTCCCGCCCTACTAATTATTATTTAGGTTTTGACTGACCGTAATAAACAGCTGGCCCTGTTCACATACTCAAAGTTGCCTCGCTATCAGAATACATGACGTTCAAGAACAGCGTAAACAGGTGAAATGCCGGTTACGTGCCAATCAAGTCCAAAATCACAATATCCTTATAACTTGAGCACATTGAATCCCTCAAGAGACTTGACAATGACACACGTCATGACCAAATGTAGCAAAGCTGCTCTGAATGCAAGCCATTCTATGGGTACCGGGGGGGGGGGGGGGACAATATCGGAAGATAGTTGCCCTTGAGGTTCCTTTGTATCACATGTAGATTCATGTTATAGTTTTGAAAAGATCCTGGGTCATGGAGTCATCTGGGAGTTGGTGATCAGAAGGTTTCTATCCACTCTCAACATCTGGAGGATGATCAACGTCCAACCCAACAAAAAGTTTCAGGACAACACAGTTCAACAGGATCGATTTGTGACCAGATGACTGTTTCCGGTTGAGAACGTCTCTACCGTTGATCAGTATGGTGTCCTGATCAGACTTGACTTGTTCCTGACCAACACGCCAGATTCTAACTGGCATGGCATATTACGCACTGAACAGCCGCCGACCACTAACAAGGCTCAGATCTCATTCATCTACAGGCATTCTTTCAACCTAGACACTGAGCCGACATTGGAAAGGTAACCACATGCCGCCAGAAGAGACGAAGGGATGTGAGTGAACTACCATCCAGGAAAAGCATGTGTAGTGTAGTAAGATAGGAACGGCCACATATGCTATCTAATGCTCCATAAATAAACCATCCAATCAGTGATGGTTGCTCAAAGGCGTGCGGCAAACGACTCCAATCCAATGTCAAAAGATTAAGGTGAGGAAAACAGAATGAGCTTTGCGGACGTCTCTGTTCACCACACAAAAAATCAAAACCACTCTTTTTACATATATATATATATATATATTCTTTTTTCTGAAAATAAAAAAGTTGTCATATGTTCTCTCGCCACATTATGGAAAGCGCGTAGAGAAAAAGAAGCCTGCCGTACGCAATTTTGCTCGAGGCCGGCACCAAACCTGATTCTACGCAAATATCTCCACCGTCCTCCCGGGTCTCCCCCGACAACATTGATGAGTTGCCTTGTTTCTACCTCCGTTATACAATCCGATATGGTGTAGTGGCCAACATGATGCCCTCTCAATTACTTGACAGGTTAGGCATAGCCCCGAGTTCGATTCTCGGTTTCGGAACGTTTCCTTTTTGAAGGCGTGCGGGACGTACTTGCTGCGAATAGCTTACCGCGTACCGCGCCAGGTCCGGTTATTTGTGCAGTATCACACTGCAACTCAAACGCCGCCTGGAGGCCTGCGATATTAATGCCCCACTTTAGTGGAACGAAGCCGTTCGACTATGCGCTCAGATGGACCGTCTAGATGGTGGCATTTGTCATTGTCACAATCGTGAGCATTGTTTTCGCGGTGGGCGCCCATATTAGTGAAGCATTAATTTCAACGCCGTTCAGGCTCCTGTGATCAGTCACTCGTCCGGCTCCTAAGATGAGCAGGATATATCCTAAGCGCTGACAGCAATATGCTCCGCAAGTTCTCCCCCTGTTGCACGCGAGCATTCATTCTCCAGCGCCCTCTGGTACCGCAAAATGGACAGACAGGATGGAGAGTGGAACATGGATGTCGAAAACCGACGCGCCGGTGCTGCCACCCCTCTCCCTCACTTTTTGAATCGTGCGTTTGCGGGACCCATCATTCAGGGTTTAAGCGCCAGGAACAAGAGACATCCATCCATCACGACCCGACGGGAGCGGCGGGGAAGGGGATCGATCATGTTGCGGTGCTAGCTTCCAGATGGTTGGGGTTAGACGGCCGAATAGGAAAGCAGAGGTCACAGAACTGGCCCTCATTCGTTGCGAGGAGATGCGGGAGATCCCTTCACGACCGGGGGGTAGCTGATTGCAGAATCGAGAGAGAAATTAGCGACGACGACTGTGGCGGGTGTTGCTGATTAGCGACGCGTACCGGACGAAACACAACCAAAGGGTCCTGGCTCGAAGGAATAGGAACAGGCCGATGGGACGGACATATTCCAACTTGAGCACACATCACAAGATTTGGTGTGGAGAGTTTGTGATCAGCTTGGATTTTTTGACACACTACTCCCACATGGGCATTTTCTACTGAACTGATAAATCCTACAAAGAAAGCTCTGAGGCTCTGTGGCAGGATGCATGTGGTTGTTCTGATGATGGCAGCGTGTCGTATTACCTAGCGCCCAACTTCAGCTTCGCAGACCTCGTGTGCAAGAGCTTAGCAGTAGCTGACGGACTATTGTCGGCAGGTGCAACGCATCAGGTCGCTCCAACGCAGACTTATGACCGCAGGCGGGAAATAACCAGCCTCTGAATGGAAGTACACCCGCTCTCGGGTGACTGATGATAAGTGAGCCAAGTCAATGCCTTTTTTGGTTCAGAGCCGAGTCTAGAACCACAACGACCGCACGGCTGGGTGAAAGCAGGCTTGAAGCGCCCGAGGTACCTTTTACTGTCCAAGATTGATGAACATGGGTGAGATTAGGGCAACGCGCGGAGTGAAAGTAGACGTGTTGCCCACCATAACAGCAAGGAGGCTCGGCATCGCGAAGCTGGTGGTGGCCAACGTCCGCGCGTTGCGCGGTCAAGAGCTGCTAGTTATCGATTACTACTATAGCAGACCTCTGGGCGGCGGCGGGGAGTGGCAGAGTGCTTCTTCCCCGCCCTGTCCTGGCCCTCAGACTGGCTCACTGTCCGTGTACCCCCGGGAGAGGCGTGACACATTCCCACTCACTTGAATCGTGGAACTAGGCAGCTGACCATTAGGCAGCTGCAGAAATGAGGCGCTTCCAACCACTCAAATCATCCGTACTGGGCCATTTGCCATCCAGTCGATTTCGCGTCGCGTCGTCCGCCTGTGAGTCGCTGGCCACGAGAATGATACGGAGTGCGCTCCGCTTGAGCAACGGCGCTTTTGCGAACCAAAGACGTCGCAAGGCAGTCAAACCGCGAGCAGAAGATAAAGCCAACGTCGTAGCTAATCCCTCTCCCCACGCTGCAGAGTGCGTGCAACAGCCGACGCACCAGGCAACCAACCCCACTGTGACTGCCAGCCCGTGAGACACCCAAGCCTTTGATACGCGGACTGCATGCACTTGCTGCAGCCAGAGTTCTGTAAGTAGCTATCTCCGAGCGGCCGGATGTAGAGTTCGTGTGTCCGAAGCCCTCGGGGCGCGGATACCTCGCAATGGCTGCAATACGAAGACACTGATGCTCGCCGTCTCGCCGACACTATTAGAGATTGAGCATTGAACTGACAGCACTCGTTGGAGAGGCGAACTCAGCTCAACACAACTAGGTAATCAAAATTGCCTACTGTGACATAGCGCAGCAAGGGTGCGTCGATGCGCTATGCGTCCAGTAGCGGGTGCTTGCTGCACTGAGAAGGAAAACGTCACTCGTCGACCAACCTGTTCTTCTGTGAATGTCATTCCCATTTTGCCTGTGAGGAGAGCACTACAGGAGGGGGGTACGGATACGGATACCGAATTATCCCATATTCGGTACGTACTCCCGACGGAGCCGCTTTCATTGCTCGCCAGGGAATTTGCTGCCTCAGATTCATAATGAATCCCACGAGAATTATGCGGTGTGTGTCACGTGGGGCCAGACTGGCTGCGGTGGAGCTTCCCATCCATTCGCTTGCGGAAGAAGAAAATGTGATGTAGCGCGGACGAAGCTGGGACAGGAAAGCCGGAGACGAGCTTGGATGAGCTTGCAGGGGACAGGGGAAAGGATCCAGCCGCACCGGCAGTGTGACTGTTATGAGCTTGCGAGGCCCCGGCGAACGAGCGCAAACCGTCGGTCCGTATCGATCCAAACAGGGAGCGGCGGCAGGTCGAGGATGCTGGATGCTGATTCCATCCATCCGTTGAAACGAAGGAAACTATCCTGTAATTATTAAGCGCTGGTAAAGAAGATAAGCCTGTCGCGGTGTCCTTGGATGTCGGGCCTGATATCACACTCAGCAAGAGCAATCAATCAATTAGTGCCTTTGGTGCTGTGCCAGAAAGTTTTGTTCCCAGCCTCCTTTGACTCTCGTCAACTTGGCCTTTGCCCCCCCACACCGTTCCAACGCCAACAGCAGAGGGAGGAGGCTAGCAAACGAACAGTTGGCGGAAGAGGAGCCGTCACCGCCTCTCGTTTTCTTTCCCCCCTTCCCGGTCTCTTCTCCGCACTGTCCGTGTCCCACTTCTGTCGCGGCGATTAAATCGAGTGCAGCGTCGAAAGCAGAAGGCGGGAAACACACAGTAGGAACGAATCGTGCATCGCTAAATTTAGCCATTGCTGAGTGCCAACTCACGAACCTAGCGATCGACCTCATTCCTCGGGGAGTTGGATCAAGTTTTCGCTCGTATGCCGTTGCTGACCGACTTGTCTTGTGGCGTCACCTGCACGCATTCAGCAAGCCAGGCCATGAAACCATTGCTGAGGGAGGTGAGGTAGCCCAGGGTCAAGGTACGCGACATAGTCGGCTCGCTAGATACTCGACATCTTTAACGACAGAGCTCCCGCTCCCCGCGTGTGGGTGGGCGGGCAGCTTGTGCCGATCAGAATAGTTAGCATTGAGCAGCGGCAGTACGAGGAGCCCTTTCTCGTCTCATCTTTTTCCGTTGTTGGTGCGTGCAGCCTCGCTTTGAGAAAAGGAAATACTGAAGTAACGTGGCAGATGGAGACTTTGCCTCATATGGATAAGTCGAGGCCAGGGCAGAAAGCCCGAGAGGTTGACAGCCGAGCCGACTAGCGGCGGCAGGCGGATGGGAACGGAGCAAAGTACTGTACTCGGAAGACGAGAGGGGGAGAAAAAGGTAGAGATAATTATTATTCTGGATGAAGAAGCGGAGACAACTTCCCTGTAACCACTTCAATCAGAGTGGAAGAGTACTGCGTACCTCTCGCTCAAAGTTTTCTTTCTAATCTTTAATTTCAATTTCAATTCTTTTCTTTTCATCCGGCAAGAGCCAAGGCCTAGAAATTCGACTGGAGTGAAGGAGAACACGGAAGGGACTGGATGGATTGTTGATGCCTTGCTGGGATCCCTCCCAGACTGTATTATCTATATCCCCACCCCACATGAGGGCGTGATTTAAACAGTCCAAGTTGAAATCACGTCATGACAGCAAATCAAAAGTCAAGAGTACACGGCCACCCACGCCCCAGGACCCACTTGAACATGCTGATCCAGCCAGTAAGAGATGTTAAATGGCTACTGGCCCCGCCCTTCAAGTCATGGCTTAGGATTCTCCCTCGTCCTTTCACCTCCCCCCTCTCCACAACCAATCAGTACTCTCCAGCCCATCCAAGCGTGACAGCGTCAGGCAGCAAAACCGAACACACACGCACACACACACAGGAGACAGAGAGGGAGAGAACGAGCAAGTCGAAACATTCAATCATATTCATCTTCAAGGAGCTTGCGAAACAGACACCAGGGCCCAGGCTGCTCCTATTCTATTGGGTCCTCGCAATCATATCAAATCAATTGCCAATCATCAGCTAGGCGCCTATTTGCTCCGCATTTTTCTGGCACCTATCGATCGTGCATCCAACGTGTGTGAGTCTGTGTCCGTGTGTGCGTGCGATATCTGCGAAGAAACGCGTGCTCCGGAAAGATCAGAGACCAAAAAAAAAAAAAAAAAAGTCGATTCGGTTGATACCTTCTGGTAGTGATAGTCGAGGGGGAGCACGATAGCAGGCGACGAGCAACCAAGCAAGCCCCAAGCACCTCACACCCAACTCAGTTCTCACACCGCCAAAGAAAATAACACCTGCGGTGGGATAGAGAAGCCAACAACAAAAAGACACCAAAGAAGAGATACGACGAGACGAAGGAGGTGACGACCCCCTACTACACTAACCGGCCCTCCCGTCCCGCTAGTTTATGGCGGCTGGCTTCCTTGCCCGGCTTCGAGCTCACGGACTGCCTCTTGCTGTCTGGTTGTTGAGGAAGGAAGACTTGCGTGTTTGAGAGAGTGAGAAAGAGGGGGTGTGTATTTTTACAGGAAGGTGCGCTTGGAGCAAGGTACATGCTTTCCTCCTCATTGCGACGTCAACGTTAGCAACCCCAACCGACCACACCCCTCCCCTCCCCTCCTTCTCCCTCTTTCTCCCTCCTCCTGCCTTCCCTTGCCTTTGCCTGTCTGCCTGCCCGTCCCTCGCCTGTTCTCACCCTCCTTCCCGATTTTACTAAGGCGACACCCCTTTGCTGCCTTGCACCTCAGGCTTCTTCACCCCCCCATATCCTAGCACAGCGAGACCCATCTTGCGCCGACGCCACACACACTCACACTTTCGTCTTCAGGATCCACGCACCTCTTTTTTTCTCTTGCCCTCTCCTCCGCCCCTCCGAAACAGACGTACAAAGTGCCAGAGAGCCCCGGTTCGTCAAAGGCAAAAGGTCCAGCGAATCCAACGAGCCAAAAGCCAGAAAAAACCCGCCCTCCCACAAAACCCAGCAAATCAGCTCGGTTTTTTTTTCTTGCGACCACTCAGGTTCGTCGCTCACCTCTCCAACGTCTCCCCTAACCTGCCACCAACCACCACTCGCGGCCTCCGACTGCTTCCAGAGAGCAACATTCGCGGGACTATTCGCGACGCTGGAAACTCATCAAGCTCCTTTACCCTATCATCGTCGACCTCGACATCTTCCCTACCCATTATCTGTCTATTGGCCAAGCGCAAGCAGCAGCAGCAGCAGCAGCAGATCGCTCATCTCTCCCGTCAGCTGATAGACTCGACCTGCGGAAAACAGCAACTTTCCCCTCTCTGACTGTTTAACCGCAGCTCACCGTACCGTTCCGCATCGCATCGCAGCGCGCGACCACAGCGAGGGCCCTTCGTCTAACCGCGTCGCACTTTGCCTCTCCGCCAAACACTCAGCGCGCACACGCGTCAAAGCTTTCTCGGAGACGATTCCAAGCTCCTATCGTGACACTCGAGTCAAAGCCTATCAGAAAGCTTCCTCGACTTAGACCACAAGCCATTTTCAAAGGTCTACAGACCTATTTTCAAAAGCCAAAAAGTCTGGCCAACCAGGTATGTTTCGCATGCCCTTTTGACATGGCTCCTTCGCGCCCCTCCTTTCCAGCCTTGCACGCGCGCTTCCTTGTTCCTGGACTCGGGCGCCATCTTCGCTTCTCGTCGTCTACCTACTGCGCTATTCGCAATTTGGTTCTATTCAATTTGTGGATTTGGCGCTTGGGTTCGATTCCCCCAAGTCAGTCCACTTTGGACTTTGATGACGACCGAAATCTCGCTAGGAATTCCTCCAGCGTTCCCAATCTTGGTTTCTTTTTTTTTCCCACTTCGTCTCTCACCCACGTCGCGCCCGCGCTCCGTTGTCTGAAACCGGGACGAATAACACATGCTTACGGACTTCAGTAGGGCGCATAATATACCCCCCTTCAGGCACTTCGCTCTCATCGGCGATTGCACCCATCTTCAGCTCCAGTGGTACGTGTGTTGTGCTTTCTTTCTTGTCACATAGTCCCCAACCTTGACAGCACCTGTACGCTTCCCGCTTCCTCAAAGTGTAACCATCCATTCCTCGGTCCTCCCCCCCCCCCCCCCCTCTTCATGTCCACGTCAATTTGTCTCTGTCAACTACGGGCATCGGCGTCACTCTGCAGCACCTACTGTACCGTCCTCTGACGCGACCCAATCTTTGCTGCCATGGCGTACATATCCTTCCCCCATGGAAACACATCGGCAGCCTACCAAGCCTTTGATGCCTTCTCGAAGCACTCCCTTCGGTGACTGGCATCGAGGCGGCGGCGGCGGGGTTGGATAGGGTCTCATTGACCAACCACCTCGCGTCCCATGTGCAGCCTCAGTGGGCTGTAGATCTCGCAGCGCTTAGTGAGCCAAGTCTGGCTTGCGCTCGCGACACAGGGCAGCGCCTGTACAGGCACCCCGTCCCCCCCCAGAGGCGCAAAGCACAGGCTCTGTCACAGCAGCTCGGACGCTTCTCTGCCTCTGCGCCGCCACCATTACCGCAACAAGGGGGAGTGTCGCCGGACAGGTTGACATGGTGGGCCTGTCTCTGCATATTCCGTCATGCATGCGAGGTCTGCCAGCGCATCAAGTGGTGGCCCGAGACGCCAGGGGAGGGGCGCGAACCCCACTCATCCTGTCTGCCCGAGCTCTGGCTTATATACAGAAGAACTAACATACTTGGTTGGACAGATATCACGACGCGAAGTGGAATAGAATTAAACGGTCTTTTCTGGGGAATCAAGGCACCGACCTGTTTCGTCCAAAGGAAAGAAACCCCCCCCCCCCCCCCAACCACCACCGATTAACCCTACCCGCTTCCCGCTGTGCAGCCGGTAGACCGTCCCTTAGGACCAGCCTGGACCAAGGAACAAGTCAATCTTCGCCGTCTCGCCTCCGCCTCGTACGGTAGCACCGGCAGCCCTCGACACGCCTACCCTCCCTCCCCTCCGTAACAACCCACACACTCTTAGCCCTCACGTGGCTACCCTTCTCACCCCAGGCTAAGCCACCCACTTCGCCCGCCCCGCGACTACATCAGCCCGCATATGCCGTGGTCGGCCACTTGCCTTGCGCACACCACTGCCAGCTCATCCACGCATCACCAATAGATTGCCCCATTACGCTCCCAATACACTGGCAAAGGGCCCTAGGACACCGCCGGCTCCCAACCCGTGTGCCCAACTCTACCCAAACAGACGGGCCGTCCCAGTCATTTTAAAGCTCATCCCTCACGGCAAAGGCAGCTTTCATCGCTACTCATTCGTCACTCGCGACCCGTACCCGTGATACCCTTCATTCGCAGTCACGTTTTTTTCAACCACCCCAAACCCATCGCCGAGCTACATACGCTGCTCGGCTTCTCATTGGCTCCGAGCCTACTCGCGACGAAGACAAACACTGCCTTCATTGCACAACTCGACCGACTCCCGAACAAGCTTGTTCCCAGTATGATGGAATACGCACAATACCCTCAACAACAGAACGCTCACTCGGGATACACGAACTCCGCCAACGGCAACAGCATCACCTCTCCCCACGGCGTACAGACGTCACCTATCTTGTCTCAACAACAATCGCCCTCGCAACAACAGGGACACAACATGTATCAGCCGCAGTACAACGTCCCTCAGCAGGGCATGCATTATGCCATGCCTCAAATCCAAGCCGCCGCCATGGCGGCGACTGCTGCTGCATCGGGATCCAATTACCCTTACATGGCATCCGATCCCAGCATGTCCCAGACGTCCCCGCGAATGGGCGGCTCTAAGAAGGATAACCGCGATCCTCGATCGCCTACTCAGATGAACAACGTTTCGCAGCTGCCCGGCCAGAGGCGCCTCAGTCAAGTCACCAGCCCGGGCGTCCCCAATGCCCAGGGCATGATGAGCCACGTCGGTGGTCGGCCTGGCGTCGCGCCACCGCAGATGGCACAGGCCCAGGCCATGCCTCACCCTCAATCCCCTGAGATGCCCACCGGCGGCGTTGAGGAATCGCCTCTTTATGTCAACGCCAAGCAGTTCCATCGCATCCTGAAGCGTCGCGTTGCACGTCAAAAGCTTGAGGAGCAGCTCCGTCTTACCTCCAAGGGCCGCAAGCCGTACCTCCACGAGTCGAGACACAACCATGCCATGCGTCGACCCCGCGGACCTGGTGGCCGATTCCTGACTGCCGAGGAGGTCGCCGCCATCGAGCGCGAGAAGGGCGGCGGCTCTGGCGAGCCTTCCAACGACGATAGCCCCGACGCCAAAGCCGGCACAAAGAGAAAATCAGAGGCTGGCGACTCGAGCACCAGCAAGAAGGCCAAGAAGGCCTCCGAGAGTCCTGAAGAGGAAGATGACGAGGAGGACGACTCTTGATTTGTCTGCCGCCCTTCGCTCTTTTGTCGCGCATTGCGCTTACGAAGCCACGAGAACCTGCGGAGGCAACTGTCAACACTCTCTGCTCTTTCGAGACTGAAATATAATGGAGACGAGAGCCACGATGAAGGGGGCTTTTGAGGACGTGTTTATAAGGGCCGGATCATTTTGAACGGACATCTTTATACGTAACATGCGGGCCAGCACACAGGACTCTCGTCGCTCTCGGGCTGCCAGGCTCAATCCTTGCCGCACTACTACTGGGTGGCAATGGGTTCTTTTTTATCTTTTGCTCTTTTCGTTTTCACGGTTAATACACATTATCGACTGGCAACAGCATGGCATCCGTCTAGACGGGTGGCCTCAAGGGAAATGGGAGGGAAGAATGCATGGACGACTCGAAACGACGGATACCCCTCTTGTGTTTACTTGATTACCCCCTTCTCCTTGTTGTTTATGATTTTTTCTTTTCTTTTTTCACTTCGTGTTACAATTCTTTGTTCGGATGGGGCCCTTTGTTTTGTGTTCCTCAGCGACGGAGATTGTGGAAAAGGGCAAACGGTCTGGCTACCAACGGCTTTTTTATTCTATGATTCTTGCTTCAGCAGGGAGTTGAAACGAAGATAAAAGAAAACCCCAAAATGAACAGCCGCCAGCAATCGGCGTGCTGAGATTTGACGTTATGGGATAAGAGAATGATTGAAGATGACATTTACGCTTTTATATTCTACCTACCTTTTCACCACTTCTACTCTGCCTCGTTGTATGGAGATAGACTACGGTTCCTAGCAAACCGTCACCGGACTTGTGATTATAGGGAGGAAAAGAAACACGGATCTGATGGCCGTCTTATTTTGTTAATACTCTGAGCAGCCTATATACATACCACTTGTTATTCCCGTGCCTCGCCGTCGGCAGTTGGTGTAATTGTGAAGTCCATACATGCGTGAAACGGAGGAGCTCTCGACGAGGCGCGGACGCGGCGTCGTCGGGCGGATCGGGCGAGCGTTTGACCACCACTAACGGAACAAGACGGACGCAACGGAACTCTGCACTACATGCGGCGCGGCCCTTGGCCTGCTAACGCCGGGTCTATTCCTAGCGATCAGGGGCCAAGTCGTGGCTTTGGAGCAGCAAATCAAAATAGGTCGACGCAACGCTGATTACCTAGACTAGGACAATGGACGAAATGCATTGGCTCGGTGGCTCGATGGGGTGCGGCTCTCAGGCTCCCCCGCCTCCACCTCCGCACTTTCGCCGCAGCCCATCTGGTTTCCGGGGGCCTGGAGGGAGCCCCTCACCCCCTGGAGTAGGCAAGGTAGCTTACGCTCCCCGCTTTGGTGGTTTATCCGCTAAGACAATTCACAGTACAGCTCAATGACCTCTGGCCGGTGGACCTCGGCATCTCTGCTGGAAATCCTGTCTAGCCTCTCCCTGCATAATAAAGCCCTCCAACGCCCTTTTCAGGCCCCGCGTCTATGCTCAAACCTGACTAGGGGACGAACCGAGGCTAGATACCAAAAAGGACCCCGATTGACTAGCCCGGCAAGCCTTCCCCCGGAATTCACCCTCCGCCTCGGGCTTTGGCGGCGAGTACTTGACCAACCACCCGTTCCGCCAACTTCACCAGCCGACGTGAAGTGTACGCGCGTTCGAGATCTTAGTGGTCCAACAAGGCCCCATTGGAAGTTCATCAAGCGGTAACGGCAACAACAGCAGTGAGCATTACCGACGTAGGTTGAGACAGCAGACATCGCAGGTCAGGATGGCGGGTCGCGTGCGGCACCCGATTGACCAGGAGGCGCTGGAGCGGTACATCAACAAGCATGTGCCGCATATCAAGACGCCGCTAGACATTAAGCAGGTGTGTAGTCTTCCTCGTCGCTTTGGAGCACCTATCTATCTCCATTGCTCCCTCACTCGCCGCCCTCTCGCCCGCTGGCTCGACGATGCCCGTTCTAACATGACACCCACGCCCCCCAGTTCGGCTACGGCCAGTCGAACCCAACATACCAGCTCACTGACGCGACGAGTGCCCACTTCGTGCTGCGGAAGAAGCCCCCGGGCAAGCTCCTCTCCAAAGCCGCGCACAAGGTAGAGCGCGAGCACCGCATCATCGACGCCCTCGGCCCCACCGACGTGCCGGTGCCGAAGGCCTACTGCCTGTGCGAGGACGACTCGGTCGTCGGCACGCCCTTCTACATCATGGAGTTCCTGGACGGACGCATCTTCGAGGACCCGACCATGCCCGAGGCGTCGTCGCCCGAGGAGCGTAGGGCGCTGTGGCAGGCCGCGACGGTGACGCTGGCGCGGCTGCACCGCGTCGTGCCGGGGGACGTCGGACTCGCGGGATTCGGGAAGAGCAGCGGCTTCTACGACCGGCAGATCCAAACGTGGACGACCATCTGCGAGAGCCAGGCCGCGGCCGTGGACCGCGAGACGGGGGAACGGGTGGGCGACCTACCGCACTTTGAGGAGATGGTGCGGTTCTTCGGGGACCGCGGGCGGCAGCCGCGGGACAGGGCCACGCTCATCCACGGGGACTACAAGATTGACAACATCGTCTTCCACAAGACGGAGCCAAGGGTCATTGGCATCCTGGAGTATGTTTATCCCTCTTCCCCCGCCTTTCTTTCTTTTTTTTTTTTCTCGATCCTATTCTACCTACTCCCCACATATCCCTCTCCCACCCGCAGGCGAGCCAAAGATGTTGTTGAGAGAGCGTATGTGTGAAAGCTTACTGACGGACCGCGCACACAAAGCTGGGAAATGTCCACGGTAGGCCACCCCCTCTCTGACCTCTGCAACTTCCTGCACCCGTACTTCACCGCCGAGCGCGCCGGCAGAGGCGTCTTCGCGAACGAGGGGTTCCGGCCCGGCGCGACGCCGGGCCTCCCGACGACGGAGGAGGTCGTCGGGTGGTACGCGTCCGAGGCCGGATGGCAGCCGGTGGCCGAGCTCAACTGGGGCATGGCCTTCAGCCTGTTCCGGCTGGCGGCGGTGTGCCAGGGGATCGCGGCGCGGGCGGCGCAGGGCCAGGCGAGCAGCGAGCAGGCCAGGCGGTTCGCCGTGACGAGGGGCCCGCTGGCCGAGTTTGCGTGGGAGCTCGTGGGGAGGAGCCGGGAGCAGGACGGGGGGAGGGCGTCGAAGCTGTAACCGGGATAGGGGAGTGGGGCCGGCGCTTCTTTGTGTGTCTTGATCTTGTCGACTCGAGGTGGCGGTGTTGGTTCCTGGCTCCCTGTGTCAGTCGCGGCTTTCTTTCCCTCGTGAGGGCGGTGCTGCTTGGGCGGGTTGGTTCCTTGCGCGCGCGTCCGCTGGTTCTTCTTGAACTCTTGTACCTATTGGTAGGCGGTTGCTGCGACGGTAGAGCCTCGCCTCGGCATCGCCTCTTGTCCGGCTGGGGTTCAGGATGCAAGCGAGGCTAACCTCGTGTCGGTAGGTCGGTCCGTCATTGACGCACCGGCGTTTGAAAATGTCGAAGCAAGCATACTAAACGCAAACAAGACTTCGCCCCCTGGGTCTCTCTCTTTCTCTCTCATTGCCTGCTTCTTCACACGTGAGTCAATGCTGAAAGACGCCGCCCCCCCCCCCCCCCCCCCCGCCCCCCTCTCCCCTGGCCGGAAAGGAAACCATCGTACTACTCCCCAGGGGTATAAAACACCACACACGCCACACACACACACATACACACACACGCTCTTTCGAGCCGCGAGACCTCGAAGGTAAGGGTAGGGTAACCCATCTTCCACTATGAGCGGACGGCAGTTCTCCACCCGCTTCCCCTTCCGACCCCTTTTCCAACCCAATCTGAAGCGTGAGTGACCGCGACACAGTGTGTGTACGTGTACCCACGCCCAACAAGATGAGCAGGGGTTTTCCAGAAAAGTGAGGTGGACCGGCTCTTGCCTGTCCGTATTCAGAGGGTTTTCTCCGTGAAACTGGGTCCTGGTTAGTTACTGGTGAAGCCAAGATGTTTGACAGCACGATGGACACGACCTGCTGCGGGGGGCGTTAAGAGACCAAACACGGCCTCCTTGCTGCTCGGGTCATTGCTACTTCGACGGTTCACCTGGCGCTACTGCATGCGGCTCACAAATATAATACTTTCGCCAAACTAACAACTAAAATACATCTTTCTTCAATTTCTTCCTGAAGTTCAACGGCTCAATACTTGAATCGCTTTCGGGAGGGAGCCCCGATACCGCTAATGGGCAACGCCCTGCCGGAGGCGGCACTCAAGGGGGCGGCCCAACGACGACTTAGACGGCGGGAACGGCGTTCCTGCGGGCACGGCGCGAGCGGAACGTGTCCCTGAGTTCTCGCTTGTTTTTTCTGTTGTCGCCGTCGTTGTCGTTGCCCCCCTTGCCCTTGTTGTCGTTGTCGTTGTCGCTGCCCTTGCCCTTGCCGTTGTTGTTCTGCTGGGCCTGGGCATTGCCGCCAGCCTGCGCATTGCCGGCGCCCTTGTTCTTGCCGCCGGCGTTTCCCCTGTTGCCTCCCTTACCGTTGCCCTTGTTGGCGTTGCCGTTGCCGTTACCGTTGCCGCCTTCCGCGGGGCCAGCAGCCTTCAATGTGGCGTTGTTGCCGAGGATTTCCTTGACGGCGGTAACTCCCTGGTCGTTCTGGGTGGGGGCGTCCTGGTTTGCCTGGATGGCGGCAGGGAGGTCGATGGTGTTTTGCTGGACCTGGGTAAGAACATTATCGAGCGTCTGCGCGGTTGCGATGTTTCCAGGGGTGTTCTTCTTGGGCTTGACGTCGGTCTGTTGGACGGCGATACAGCCACCAAAGGGGCCCTTTGCGTTTGAGTTGAAGCAGCGGACAGTGCAGACGTTTCCGGTGGAGGCTGAGGTCCCGTGTTAGTCGGCTCATGCAGAACGGTCACGGACATCAGGTCCGGGGGGTGGGGGTTGATAATATTACCTCCTACGCAAGCCAGGTCCTTGGGCATCGTGACCGTGAGCTTGATGTTACCGTTCTGCGCCTTGGCCTCCTTGACGGCAAGTTTGGTCTGGCCAGTGGCTCCGATGGAGTTGCTGGTCGGGTCCAGGTCGCACGTGTAGGGGCCGGCACCGTCGGCGCTGACTTGTGCGATGGTGATGTCGACATTGGAGCCCTTGGTGACATGGGTGACGGTATTGTTGCCGAGCTGATTCTCCGTCGTCTCGCCAATGTCGATGTTGCCAGCGAGGATGGTGCGGCCGCACTCGTTGACAACGTTTTGGGTAATCTCCTGCAGGTTGATGATGTTGGCGTCCGCCTTTGTAGGGTCGACTACGCAATACCTGTGAGATTTATAGTTTTCTTATGGGGAATAGACATTCTGTCCTTCATCTTATAAAAAAGACTTACCTAGGAGGCCAGCACCGGCTGGGCCGCTGGGGCCTTGTGCTTTGATAATGACACCTTGAGCGTTGGCCATGGCCAACATGGCGGAGGCGATCAAGGCTCTCATAGGAGAGGACATGATGGCTATAGTCAAAGGGAGAGAATAAGAAGAAGAAATAAAAGAGTCGAAGACCAAAATCAAAATCGGCAAGCGTCGAATTTGGATTAGTATAGTCTGGCGAAAGGGAAGTCTAGAATGTGTCCAGCACCGTTGGAAGGAAGAGAAATGAACAAGAGAAGAGTCTCTCGATGGAAGAAACAGGCCGGCTGGGTGATATTTGGAGAAGAGAACTTGTTAAAGAAAATCGAACGGGAAGGAAAGTATGAGCGAGCGATCCGAACGGGAAGATCACAGGGAGGCCTGCGGGTTTTGCCAGAAAGGTCGAGCCTATTAAGTTGGTATACATGCTTACTTTGGTTTCTCTCCACTGCTTGCCTATTTTGAGCCGACCCTCACATCACATCACCCTCTCTCCTCTTGGGGCGATGACAAGAAGGAGCCGCTTCCAGGGTAGAGCTTGTTTCGACAAGGGGTGCCGGATGCACATGGTATGGATGGACAGGGCGGGTGATGGTGGACGTTGTGCGTAGCTCAGTACACGATTTGTGTGTGGTTGACGAAGAGCGCGGCGAGTGGTCCAATCAGGGCCGATGGGCATAGAGGCCAGGGGAGCCCCATGAACGCGGTGCCTGTGCCTGAACCATGCGTGCAGTCTTGGCAGTCGTACCTCGTTTGTGTGCCTGTCTTGTCCAGGGATGGAATGCCAGGTTTTTTCTGGCGAGGAGGGTGGGGGGGCGTTATTACGTTAGGCGGCTCTTCTTGCCTCTGTTTCCTGCAGCGTTCTGGGCCAGCACAGATGCCCTTCCACAGCTCCGACGATCATCTGGAACGAAAGTCGTCGCGAGAGTGGAGTGGCCGGTGGAGACGGAGGTGCCCTGTGTGCCTGTGCGTATTTAAGCAGTGGGCGGGTGGCAGAGCATGTGGGGTTGGCCAGAGAGTACGGAGGAGATTCGGTTTTGGGTTTGGAGGTACGCATATTTGTACGGATACAGACAGAGAGTAGTAGTGTAATGGTGCATAGGTAGGGAGGGCACCTAGACAGTAATAATCGGTCGCATGGCCGGTAGGGCGACAAGGGAGCGTCGGCGGGTCGCCCATATCATGCCCATCAGATGTTGGGGATTTATCGAAAGGGTGGGCAGGAGTCCAGACGAAGACGGGGCTATAACCACGTTTCAGGCCCTTTGGCGATGGGCCATAACGGGATACTGGTACGATCAATCCTTGGTGTACGGAAGGTCCGTACGTGTATGTGTATTCGTACCTGCCTACCGACTTTGCATAGCAGAGTAGGTAATGTATGGATACTCGGTACGAATACACTTAACCATTGGGCAAGTGCCAAGTGAGCATGGCATGCCTGGGGTCGCTCCTCCCCTTTTTTTTTCGCTTGTCTAGCCGCCACCGTCCAGATGCACCGGGCGACGGCGAACCTCCGACAGCTCTATCCTCCCCCTCTCCTTTTCGCTTCCCGACAGCCCAAAACGTTCAGACGGGCCACGTTCTGAGACGACTTCGTAACGCGCAGGAGTTCGTTGAACGGGTTTTCTTCTGCCTAACGGCCTCGGCGCCAAGACGTCTTCAGGGACCAAAAGGGGAATGTATTTAAAGCTGAAGCTGCTGCTCCACGGACGTTGTGGATGTTCTTAACGTCGCTGGCAGGGAAGGGACGTGATGCGTGTGTTCTGATGCTCATGTCCATCATCGAACGTCTCGCCGACTCGGAACGATGTCTCTGGAAGAAGCAAGACACCCCCCCTTACTAGCGAGGGCATCGCAGCGGACCTCCATTCCGGCATCCCAATGCCAACTCATCTGCATTACACAAGCTTCGTCTACGTCTGATGGATAAGAGGGCACACAGAAGGTTGGGAAAGAGATCCGGTTACAGCTCATCTGATACGTTCTGCGAGACTGGTGTTGAGAAAAAGGCACTGGGTTAAGTATAATTATTAGTTTAAATGCTTTAAAACGGTGGAAGCTGCCATGTCGTGGTGGAGGTGCTAGGTAGTGCTATCGGTCAGACGGTTGGTATGGGATGGGCGAGGAGGGGGATATAGGTAGGAGGGGATGGGCTGCATCTACCTACAAAGTCTCCGAGCTGCCCCGAGGAAGGGTGACGCAGGGTCCAGCACCGCTGCGAGTTCGCACCAAACGTACGTCGTCATCGCACGACTATGAAACGAGCTTGCATTCTGGATTCTGGCCAGCGTTTGACCCATCCGCAATCCTCGCCCTCACTCCTTGCCCTTTGTTTGCGATCTCGTTTTTTGCTTTTTTTCTTGCTTCATCTGGAAGAAACTTTTTTTGTTAAAAAAATTTCTCCTCCCTTCGTGCCTTCCAAGTATCACGGTCCGGTGTGCTCGAGCACTTTTGGCTCTCGCTTGCGGATGCTTTTGCCTCAACTCCGTAGGATTGGCGACACCCTCCGGCCCGGACCCAATCTTCAAAGGCAGTGCTCGACGCCGGCCCATATATCCTGTCGTTCCTGTCGTCCCTGCACTCTGGTGCGCGCACGTGGAATTGCACGGGTCTGATTTAGAAGGGATATTTAATGCGTATAACTGCGCCTCTGCTCATCGCATGGTCTATCGGTACTGAACGCAAACATTTGGTCGCTGGGAGCATGCGGGCTTGTGGGCTCTACCTTTGTCGACGAGAGTAATGTTTCTTGATGTTTCTCGTCGGATCTCTCCAAACGACGAAGTCGGGTTCCGTCGATCCGATCTTTTTATCTTATTTTTTATTTCTTTCTCGAAAAATCACCACCCATCATGCTTATCAAACCGGGACAGCGCAAATCGCGGGGCCCGGCAACAGCAGTACCACCCAACTCCCAATCGGGATGAGCCATGATGAGCCTTCTACGGGCCAGGAAAGCATGCTTCTAGCCTGCAGGTGTCGCCGAGAACCCGCCCATGGATCACCCCACGTCGTTGCGCACACGGACCCAGCCAAAATGAGATGAGATGGCAACTCAGACCCTTGCCTGAGTAATGTCGTTTACGCACTCAGTACTCGTTGTTTGACAAAGAGCTGACGGGATGAACTTTGTCGCGTCCGAGGACGTCGGGCTCTTTGCAAAAGAAACGTTCAGACTCGATTAGCGTGACGTCGTAAAGCCTAAGGTGCGTCGATTGCTTGTTGGAACAGTCCCTGCTGCGATAATTAGCTGTTAGACCATTGATGAAGCGAACCAGTCATTGGATGGGCGTTTCCTCTCACATTTCAACCATTCATAATGTTGGAGACGTTCTATACAAAACTCCACATCGTATAGTGTACGGATATAACCTAGAGGAACGGCATTGTAAACATATATCCTTAGTGGCTGCTGATATAGGTATTGAATCTCACGTATTGTCATGGGGTAGAAAGGAGGCAGCGACGCTCACATGGATGGCTCAAGTCCGACAGGGGATATTGTGGTTATGTTGCCTCTCATCTCCGACGACCCAGTTGGTCAGCACAAGGGCAAGGTAATTAGTAGAAGATCCCATACAATTGACCAAAGTCTCTTTCCGAATGAGCAGCGCCTCCAGTGAAGCGCTCAACCTCGCTTACTCTCGAATCGCTAATGGACCCCGACAACGTCGCAGCGTGCAAGCCAATGCTAATCTGCCCAAAGTATGTTGACGGGAAGTTAAACACGGACAATGAGCATTTCATCAAAGAAGCGGGGCTCCGAGGACGTACGTGACTCAAGCAGGTAAAAGCCAAGTGTGGCATCACGATTTAAACTGCGAGATTCACCGGATTCACGACGAGGAAAGCAGGCCTACGCTTTCAGGGTCCCCTCAAAATCAGTAACTTGCAAATATATGCTTCTTCCGTTCGACGGTGGCGCGTTTTCGCAAGTGGGATATGACATTGACAGTTGCGAATTTGCCGAGCACCCGCTTCCGGTGTGCTTTGAGCTAGGAGAGCTTCAGAACAGCAACAAGCTTCGCCACCAGGAGGGATGAAATGTTTTACATTAGTGATAAAAGTGTCGATCATTGTACTGCGTTCAGGTCGTTCTCATGACGCCATCCCATTGCCTCTAATTGGCCCTAGGCTCGTCATGCCGACAGTGAGCTCGCGTTGAGCCGAATGAGATGCAGGGAAACTGAGGCATGGCGTGTGACGACGATGATGAATATTGCTGTTCAGTTAACGAGTAGGCTGCTGGTGATCGATTCTGTGCAAAGTCATTGACGGCGGCGCAGGCGAGGCTGGAAGCAGCGGCTCGGCGCCGTCGGGCCTTGTCAGTCGGACCTTGTCAGTCGGACCTTGTCAGTCGGACCTTGTCAGTCGGACCTTGTCGGTGGACTCTTTAGAATAAGCATCATGTCTGGAAATTCCTGCAACCTATCTCTCTCACCTAACCTCAGCTATATTTTCCTCTATAGTCGAGCCAGAGCATGACCCCTTGCATATAGGGCCGATTCCAGCAGTGCCGGCCACATGCACGTAGAGTGTGCCGGCAGAGGGAGGCGCAAAGAGCGGCTGATATTCTACGAAGACTCAACGGAAGACCACTGCCCCTCACCTCATGTTCTTCTACGTGTGGATGAAACCAAGAGACTGATGGAGGGAGCCGTATAGAGGACGTGATCAATGGTTTTCAATTCGGTCATGTGGACACAGAGGGTTAATTGAAAAAGAAAAAGAAAACTAATGATATCAAAGCATCTGCGGAGGTCATTCATAACTTTAATCCAAATACTTTCGCTGTCTGAGCAAACCGGTTGGCAATACAGTAGCTAATTGCATCGTCTCAGAAATAGGAACAATGACAGTAGGGGCATGTGAAATGTTCCGGCTGCCTGGAACCCATCAAGGTAAGCTTCCTTGCATTCCAAGTGACAGCCCTAACCAGAGCCTACTCAGCGAGCCCACAGAGTGTCGCTGAAATCAGTTTTGCTATGCAGTCTTTTCTGAGAGTTGTCATCTTCCCCTCAGCACGCATGATACTCATATACCCTTCATGCAGAAGCAGGTGTCTCCACGCCCCATGTGGTTCAACAAATGTGGTATCACGATAGCTTCATATAGCATCTGTCAGATGGATTATCATGCGCCATATCACGTGCCGTTACATTTCCTATTCTTATATGCCCTGGTGATGTGGTGTCAAAATCGCATAAGAACTGTGAAGGGAAGTCCGGGAGCAGAATCCATACGGAGAATCTCATGGCATGATTTCCACATTTTTAGTAGTAGATTGTTGTGCCACGCTACTGCGTTGGTAGAGATGAGGCGTCGTAGGGCCAAGCCAATCAATGTACACACCATAGATGAAGAAATGTAAGAGATACAAGAGAGAGAGAAGGAGCCAAGCCTTCGGCGGATGTTGGCGAATGACGCCATTCTCATGTAAGTACCAAAGAGGCGGTGCTCCTTTTAGGCTGCCGTCTTGGCACAATTTCGGACTACAGTTATGACAACTAATGTGAACCAGCCCAAAGGGAATCGATAATGGTTGTGTCTCATTGGTCAGCTATTACCGGACGAAATGCATCAAGACATGACGACGCAACGACATTCCGATCGTCCCTTTCAACTGCTCCCTTACTTACACTAGCCTAGCAGATATTACAGTGAGGGAAAAGTCGCTGACACCGTTTTTCGTCGAAATTGCTTAAACGCCAACCAAATCGAGCAGAAGGTTACTATTTTAAGAACCACAGACCATTTTGGCTTTGCGTAAGTTTTGAATAGAAGGGAATCATGAAGTTGCTATGCTCACTAATCGAGTCCGACCAAACGCATACCCATTCTAGTTATTGATGTCGTGGATACATGAACACGCTTAGACATTCCGAAGAGCGGCGCCGATGGACAGCTTTATGCTTCAGGATGCTGTAAACCAGACTTCCTTCGGCCTCGTAGTCCTCAATCGTCCTAGGTTCAACCTTTCGGAAAACTGATTTTGATAAACAGTTTTTAGACCGAAGGAACTGGATTGCACCAGTGGTTCCCCAGGCGGCCTTGATGAAGAGCGACGCAGATGGCTGTCCACTTGCTTCAGAGAGCAATACTACCTTTTGTTCCTTTGCTGAGACATCAAAGCTATTCAATAAGCCTCATCATTTTCATGGCGAAAGCTGCACTGTGATTGGCGTAGACATTGAGACATCGGGCAACGGTCTCTAACGGCTTCTAGCTCACTTTCGTACTAACGCATGCCATCGTAGACTGTGGCCTTCTCTTATTTCATAACCGGTCCAGCAATGGCCGCTGTTGATCTTGCTAAGCAGGATTGTTGAGCGATAGATACGATATCTTCATTACATTTACATTGTTGTGGTAATAATATATCGGTCGCAGTTGCAGCAACTTGACTGCGGCTCAGCTTTAGCATCAGTTATTATATCTCAAGTCTTCAACGAAATGCATTTTTCAGGTCCAGTAATGCCTTGCGTCAATTTAAGCTGTAGGACGAACGTATGGAAACTGCTGGGATTGATCTCAGCTATTCCTAGACCTTGGGTACATCGGAATCGTCAAATCAGATAGGACCAGATTCGCTTTAGTTGATGTCGAGGACTAAGCGTATATATTTATATATTGGTCTCGGAACATGTACGTCAATCTCGCCGATTTTTATTGATTTTACAACAAAAACCTAGCAATTTCATTGACGATTGCGTTCCTAGACAACTCAACATAATCGACACGCGCTTGCCTTCTGAGAGGGCGATCAAACTCGAACGCCACCCCAAGAAACGTTCGCGTTTCGAGATGTGGGAATACGAGTGCTGTTCTAGACTTTTATGTGGTCCTACCGAGTTGCCTGTGCCGCGTGACCACTCACTTGCGATATCGGCCAATAGTCTTTTAGGACTATCAGACATAGTCACTAAAAAGAAAACTCTATTTCTATTGAGTGTCTCGAGCACGCTAAGCCGTCTTTCTCAACAATAAAAAAGACGATCAGATTATCAGCCATTTGGCTTCAGGCACTCATTTCACAAACACAGCCATTGAGCAAGGTCTTGAAGCTTCTTTGCAATATTTTAATGATTTTTTTTTTCAACGGGTCACTGCGTGGAGTTCCCCCGCCTTGCTCGCCTTGCTCAACTTGCCAAGTCACAAGCGCCCAGACCTTATTTGCCTTGACCCCCATGTTTAGTTATGTCCTTTCGTCACTTTCCGATGCGGCAAACTCCACAACAAGTTCGTTGGTAAGCTAGACCGCCTCTTGTCCCAGTTAAAGGTCTGGCCGGCTGTCCGGAACCCAGGGAACCGCCACCGGGGCCCCAGTTTATTCAAAAAAAGGGGACCCTCCTCCGCCACCACCAACACAGGGGAAGCTGAAATATGGATCCATCAAGGCTTGGAAATTTCTCAACAACGTGGTACGTGCTCCGAAATCTCTTTGGCCGAACTTAACCCGGTCCATCTTAAAAGGACGGCCGTCAGGGGTAACCGGCGGTGAGCTGCGTTTGTGATCATTCAACTCACAGCTTCTCCTGATCTTATCCAGCACGACTTTTCCCACCTAGCCTTTCATAGTGATTAGAATGCCTCACAGCACGGAATCCCTCAAGCTCAACAGCAACAACCTATCTTTGATTTCTTCGCAGCAGGGAGAGCTGAAGGTGAAAACCCCTTCCTACGACCGCAATGGCGTGAAGGAGGGTATCGTCCACGTCGGCGTGGGCGGCTTTCACAGAGCTCATCTGGCCGTCTATATCGACCAGTTGATGCAAAAGCATGAGCAGCGCAACTGGGCCATCTGCGGTGTCGGTCTGCGACCCAACGATGCCGCTATGCGCGATGTCCTGGTCGCTCAGGACTATCTGTATACCGTCATTGAGCGCTCTGCCAAGGGCAGCTTCGCCAATGTCGTCGGCAGCATCAACTCGTTCCTTTATGCGCCAGACGACCGCGAGGCCGTTATTGCCAAGATGGCCCACCCCGACACGCACATTGTGTCCTTGACCATCACTGAGAGCGGCTACTACTACAACGAGAACACCCACGAGTTGCAGTCTGAGCACCCCGACATCCAGCACGATCTGGCCAACGAGAACGCTCCCATCAGCACCTTTGGCTTCCTGTACGCCGCGATGGCTAGGCGCCACGCGCAGGGCCTGAAGCCCTTCACCGTCATGTCCTGTGACAACATGCAGAAGAACGGCTCCATCACCCGTCACATGCTCGAATCCTTTGCGCGCCTCCGCAACCCGGAGATCGCCAAGTGGATCGCCGAGGAGGGTGCTTTCCCCAACGCCATGGTGGACCGCATCACCCCCAGCACGTCCCAGAACGACATCAAATCGTTGTCCGACAACTTTGGCATCGAGGACGCGTGGCCCGTTGTCACCGAGCCCTTCATGCAGTGGGTTATCGAGGACAAGTTCTGCGACGGCCGCCCGCCTTTTGAGAAGGTCGGCGTGCAGGTCGTCAAGGGCGTGCACGAGGTCGAGCAGTTTGAGAAGCACAAGCTCCGTCTGCTCAACGCCAGCCACTCCGCCATGGCCTACCCGGGACAGCTTGCCGGCTTCAAGTACGTCCATGAGGTCATGGAGCACCCCACCTACCGCAAGTTCGTCTGGCAGATGATGCAGCAAGAGGTCAAGCCCCTGCTGCCCGAGATTGACGGCGTCGACATCGACCAGTACTGCAACACCCTCATGGAGCGTTTCTCCAACCCCACCATCATGGACGGAATCCCCCGTGTTGCCCTGGGCGCCTCGGGCAAGATCCCCCAGTTCATCATGCCTTCCATTGCTGAGCAGATCTGGGCGACGGGCCCCTTGCGTCGTCTGTCTTTCGTCGCCGGTGCTTGGTTCCTCTACCTCAATGGCGTCGACGACGCGGGCAACGCCTTCGAGGTCGATGACCCGATGCGGGAGGAGCTACAGGCCCTGGCGAAGGCCGGCGGTAACGACCCCCGCCACCTCCTCAGCGTCAAGGTGCTGTTTGGTGACGACCTGCGAGGCGACGAGCGCTTCATCAACGAGGTCTCCAAGGCTATGGAGCTGATTTCCAAGGACGGCGTCATGGCAACTCTTCCCAAGTACGTCGACTGAACGGCATCGGGGACGCAATGTGTTGTTGGCTTTGGTTTAATGCAAGCATTTCTTTTTAAAGTTTTCATGAGCGTGGGAAGAAGGAATAGATTTATAAATTAAGCGGTTATGAAGGATTGTTTGATAGACATAAAATAAATAAGGCATGAGGGCTTTGTCACCTCATTGGTTTCAACTCTGGTTTGTCTGATGGCTACGAATATTACAAATCATGGAGTATTGCTTGGTAATTGTTGTCAAAGCGAATCGTTGTTGAGCTACTGAAGATACAGGCAAGCATTATCTTAGATTCTATCCGTATCAAAAACGGCTTTCTTTGACCACCTAACTCTTGAGCATAATCAGAGTAATGAACTCTCAGCCTGTAGTAACCTCACTACCACTGATATGGCAGGGGAGAACGAGGAAAGACGCAATCTATTCCCAGGCTAAATTTAAGGCAGTACTGTCGTTTTCTTTACAAATGGTCCATAATAGCTTAGAATCTCAATAGTTACCTTTCATCTCAAGTACATGCAAGCATACTTGAAGTCATTTTTCATCAAACGTCAGAGATACTTCACTTGTGTCCTGTAGTCTGCAGATTATAATCAAGTGGATCAGCTGACAACAGAACATGACATGCCGCTTTCGATTTCGATTGCCAAGTCGTTCATATCATGGAATACTATACAATTGCTTTGGTACGTGCGTTCTTGTTCGTTCGAACTCTGGATGGGGTTCTCATGGGGCACCTCTCTTTATTTTCCCTTAGCTGAAGTGACCCAGAGATCGAGATATGTTACCTACCTTGTAAACGTATACTGGTATCTCACCTCGCGCACTCCCTGCCACCTCGAAGCACCTACCAATTCAGATATAAAATTTACTTTGCTATTTTGCTCACTTCCGCCTAGAATCTCACCAAAATCTCGCCTCCAAAACCGCAATCTAGTGAAAGGATTCTCAACGACACCTTAGAGAATGTGCGCCCATTCGGATAGCTGCCGGACCACAGATTCAATCCGGGCCCTGACCCTGGTGATCGATACAGTTGAGTCGCCACTGCCTTGTCGCAAAATGACGGAGGAGACCAAATGCATAGGTATGCATTTCTCGGCGCAAATCCACAGTCAGTTTGGTGCCCCCGAATCATGCCAAGAGCTAAACATGTCATCAAGTCATCCGACAGTTTGTTAGTGACAATGGAGCTGAGGTCACCCGAAAGCCATCTGAGCTCTTGGAAAACAGACCTGTCGGTGGTCAGATTCCTTATATGTCAGGGTACATAGCTTGCGGAAGAAGATACATCATGCTATTTAAGTGATCGTGTCTGATGATGCATTGGACTGATGCCACGTGATTCGACGCAGCCATCCAGGCCAGATCTTCAACGGTCACTCCCCACTGACATTTTGACAGATATAGCAGACCATGCCTTTATTATTAAGCTTTTTATTGAATCTTTTTTCATTCTTACTGACTGGCCATTTTGGCTTTAATTTCTAGTGTTTTCGGGAAACCCACCAAGTTCGTTGGGCATTGACACTGAATGTGAACGAGTCATGGTGGTTCAGAGAGACCCCAGTTCATTATATAAGCGAGTACTGGGTTGCTCTGACAACGACCCACACCCCTCCCCTGATTGACTTGTTATCGATTATCAATAGATAGTCAACACCACCACAACACTGAATTTCAATTTAGAAGTTGCTTCATACCAATCTGACATCGACAAACCCGACGCACAAACTCCAGCAACTCTTTACCTGGAGACGCGACGGCGAATCGCCGCAACAATACTAACCATGGCAGCCTCTGATGACCTTATCAACTTCGACGTGATCGAAGCGCAAAAAGAAAACATTCAAGCGCTGCCGAGCGGACGCTCTGCCAAAAAGTTGGCCGAACTCTTTTCGCCCTCTCCTCTGCACAAGTTGGACACCCCAACACCATCCGACACCAAAAATGTCAACGATTGTATCAGAGCCGAGTACGAGGAGGAAATACGCAACATTTCCGAGTCAGACGACCCTCTCGATATCTTCGACCGCTATGTGCGCTGGACCCTCGATGCATACCCATCAGCGCAAGCCACACCGCAGTCTCAGCTTCACACCCTACTAGAGCGCGCGACCAAGACATTTATCGGTTCATCGCAATACAAGAACGACCCTAGGTATCTCAAGATGTGGGTGCTATACATCCAGTTCTTCTCCGACTCGCCTCGCGAGACATTCCTTTTCCTGTCGCGCCACAATATCGGAGAGACACTTGCCCTTTTTTACGAAGAGTACGCAGCATGGCTCGAAGGTGCAGGCAGATGGAAGCAGGCGGAGGGGGTGTACAACATTGGTATAGAGCGGGAAGCGAGACCCGTCCAACGCTTGATCCGCAAGTTCAAGGAGTTTGAGCAGAGGCTCGCCCAACAGCCAGACGCAGCCGAGGCACCTTCATCACCAGCACTACCTACCGTTCGGCCTGCTCTGGCCGCCAAGGTTGACCCCTTTGCCGCTGCTCGCGCGGCTGCTACGGCGGATCCCCAGGCGCCTCGCCCCAGCCAAGGTGTCGGCGGTGCCGCGCCCAAGTCGGGCAAGGCCAAGATGTCCATATTTTCAGACACTGACTCCGCGCCACCGGCACTGGCCTCGCGTGGGCCTACAACCAAGGGATGGGACAATATCGGCTCGTTGAGCGACCGGAAGAAGGAGAACGTGATGGAGCCCAAGCCGTGGGCGGGAGAGACGTTGAAGGCGGGAGGAAAGAAGAGCACTGCTCCGAAGATGGCCATCTTCAGGGATACGGTAAGCACCACTTTCGCTTAAGCCTCCCATTGCCCAGATGTTGATGATTATAGGACTAATGTATGGCTTTATGGCGTTCTTGTATTTCAGTCTCAGTTGCAATCAAAATCGCGGCAGCAATTGCGATCATCGCGGGCACAAATGTCCAAGTCCCACATCACTCTTGTGCCATCAAAAAACCAAATAGTCGTGAACCCCGTCAGCGGGAAGAAGGAGCATATCTTTGTCAGCCTCGAAGCTATTTACCCTACACCCGAGGAACCCGGCTCTGAGCTCGGTTTCGAAGAGGTTTGGGCTACGAATCGGGGCTGGCTGGATGTATCTTGGGATGACGAGCCACTGATAGAGGAGGCTGCGCCTGAGTTGATGGATGTGGAGCCTTCCATTGTGGATGACCTCAGTCAGAAGGTGCAGGAGAGGCTGGTTGTCCATACAGAGACTGTTATGATGGATGAGAATGGTGCCATTATTAACAAGAAGGAGGGCAGAAGTAAAAAGAAGAAGATCATGGAGGTCAACGAGACCCAAGTCAGTAAGTTAATGGCGCTGCGCCATACGCATCTTGTCGTTGTTAACAAGCCTACAGTCAAAGCAAATCTGGACTCGCCATCCAGGCCAAAGCTGAAGAAGAGAAACACGGCTGAGCCGACAATGACGCTTCACACTCGAGCTGCAACTGACGAAATCTATGAGATTTTCAATCAGCCCATTCAGTCAAACCCTCAAGAAGAAGAGGAGGAGGATGAAGAGGATAGCGAGGATGACGACGACTTTGAGACGGACGGCGACTACACAACTGACGCAGAGAGCACCATGATCACACGCCAGGTGGACATGGCTGAGGACGCCGACGAAGCAGACGAGGAAACCTCGGATGCGAAGAGCATCAGCGAGTGGTCCGATTTTTCTACCCGCAAGCATGTCCCGGTTCTTAACGAGGACGCAACACAGAACGACATTGACAACACCCAAGTTTCTGATTTAATGGACCCGAATTACGCCGAACAGACGGGTCCTGTTTCTGAAGAGCAAACAGAAGCCCAGTACGACGGCCAGTCTGGAGACGAAGAGGATGAGGAGGATGAGGACCAGGACGACGAAGACTACCCGCCCAGAACCAAAACCATGTTCGTCCCGATACCACCAGAGGATTATGAGCCCAGAACAAGGCCGTATAGGGACCCGGTCGAGATGGCTAATAACCGACTCCCCTTCATGACCCCGATCACGGAGAGAACTGAATCTTCGCTTGCGTTTACAGAACGCAAGGCGAAATACGAGACCCCGTGCCGCGATGACATGGAGTCAACCATTGACGAGGAAGAGCCTTACATGGAAGAGCCCGGTAGCAGCCCTTTGAGAGAGGTTCTGAGTGAAGTTCGGCCAGTGAAGATTGCTCAGCCTCTCCTCGGCAAGGCGAAATCTGCCTCGGCGAAGCCGGCACCTTCCAAGGGCCCGATTATCAAGGAGTTGCAATGCAACCCGGTCGACGAGGCCGTGAGAAACGAGATCCTCGCCAAGATGCAGCCCTCGTTGGGCTCGTACCCCGGATTCTACGACCACAGAGATGAGAAGTACGAGAAGGGCAATGATATCCGCAAGTTTGCCAGAGCCATGACAAAGGCGGCCAAAGGTGGCTCGGACAGGATGAGCAACGCATGTGCTTTGGTCACCATCGAGTTCCCCGACGTCGATACCCAATACACCATCCGGAAGGAGCTCGGCGCAGGTGCTTTTGCCCCTGTCTACCTTGTCGAGAACTCGTCTGCCAACCAGGAGGACGAGGACGAGGATGGCGTTGCGATCATGGGCAAGGGTGCATTTTCCGTCAATCACCGTAGCCCCTTGGAGGCGCTTAAGATGGAACTTCCCCCGACGCCGTGGGAGTTCCACATGATGCGTCTCGCCCACGTGCGACTGGGTCCTCAGCACCGCGCTGCTGCCTCCATCTCGTACGCCCACGAGTTCCATCTCTACAAGGATGAGGGCTTCCTCTTCCTTCCCTACCACCCCCACGGAAGTCTTCTCGACGTCGTCAACTTCTTCCGCGCCGAGCCATCCGCCGTTATGGACGAGCAGCTGGCCATGTTCTTCACTATCGAGCTCTTCCGTACCGTTGAGGCCCTGCATGCCCGCAGCGTCCTCCACGGCGACCTCAAGGTGGACAACTGTCTCCTCCGCTTGGACAGCGGCTCCGGCGACCAGCCGCTGTCATCGCAGTACAGCGCCGATGGCACTGGCGGTTGGGACGCCCGGGGTGTGACCCTCATCGACTTCGGCCGCGGCATCGATATGCGCAACTTCGAGGCGGACGTCGGCTTCATCGCAGACTGGAAGACCAGCGCGCAGGACTGTGCCGAGATGCGCGAGGGTCGTCCGTGGACGTGGCAGATCGACTACCACGGCCTCGCCGGTATCGTGCACTGCCTTCTCTTTGGCAAGTACATCGAGACGGTGCGCTGCGACCAGGGCGGCATCGGCGCCGGACGCAAGTACCGCGTCCGCGAGAGTCTGAAGCGCTACTGGCAGACGGAGATCTGGGGCGAGTGCTTCGATATGCTTCTCAACCCCGGGTCTTACGTTGCCGCTGAGGACGGCGCACGCATGCCGGTGCTCAAAAGCATGCGCAGCGTCCGGGAGAAGATGGAGGTCTGGCTGGAGAGCAACTGTGAGAGAGGTGTGGGGTTGAAAAGCCTCATGGGCAAGGTCGAGGCTTTTGCTAAGGGCCGGAGGTGAATGGGGGAGGGCGTTATATGCCTTTGATGATTTGACGAGGAGCGGCGTTCCGGGCTACATGGGAGGAGAATCTGTCCTTTTCCATAAATACCTATACCACTAGTGCGTTTATTATGTGTCTACCTTAATAACGATTGTTCATATCTTACCTTTTTGGGACTTTTCCGGTCAAGTTTCGTCCGTGTGAGTGCTTTCACCAACACTGTAAGACTTCTCGTTGATGGGTCCCTCATAAACGGTAAATCCATGTGGCTCCCGAGTTCCGAACACATTGACCATATTGCCAGTCCTGCAGTTGAGGCACCGCTGCTAGCTTTTACGAGGCCGACGGCACAAGATCTTGGGCACATACCGACACGTTCATTGTACCCGCCGAAGATTATGCCCAGAGGGCTATTTGGCACGGTGTTCGTTCACTGCTACTGGCGCTACCCAAGAGTACCCGGCCAATAGATGTCAGGCCCCACCTTACTGACTGACTAGAGCCGCAGTTCCTGTGAGTGCGCCCAGCCGGAACAGACGAGGTTGTCCGCAACAGCAAATGCGGCTCAGGCCTGGAAATAGCCCCGAGGAAAAGGTAGCATCACGAACACGTTTTGTTCGAAGGTGCGGTTCAGGCCTCCAACGACAGCTGTTGAAACTCGGCCGAGAAAAGCCCCAAAGGTCACCCCCCCCCCCCCACATACACACTGGCCCAGGCCCTGGTAGGGGTGTAAGAAAAACGGATGTTGAAGAGTGACCTAACAAAACAAGAATAAAATAAGAAAGGCGATTTTTGGGACGATTGGAAAACGTTCCGGGTGTCGAGGCCCCCCAGGACCGAAACCGTTGACCGCTTATCACGGCCCATCGAGGGGTTTCTGCCTTTGGTAGGCGGCCCAGTCAATCAGTTCATCTGGACGTGCGGTACCGAGCGTCTGGGGAGTGTGTGAAGAAGAAGCTGGACCCCGTCAAAAGCCCGCTCGGTGCCGCCCCTCCCCCATGGCTTTTCACCGTCGTGACCCGAATTGGTGTAATTCACAAGCGCTCAAACGGGGGCTCGAGAAGCCAAAGGCATCGTCGGCTCCGGCCCTGTTCCGCCGGGAGGCGGCGTCATGGCTGTCCCGAACCGCAGTCCTGGGTGCCAGCGCTTGTAGTTCTCGTTATGACTCGACTCGAAACACATACACACACACACACAAACACACCCGATAGTACTCGCACGCGTTTCCTGCCATGCGAGCCACTGTAGGTGCTTGTGGCAGACTGTAAAACGTGTGCGTCAGCTTCTATCCCCCTCGCGCCGCTGGTTGTTCGGATCGTTCGGTCCAGACGGTCGTCGCGGGCAAAACCCGTCTCGTAGCAAGTTGCGTGGTTAAGTGTACCGGACCCTCCATCTGCTGGATGACATGGGTTCCGCACGTCACAGGGCGATTAGACGACCCGTTTCCCAAGCTGGCCAGAAGTCTTCTCCCCCAAAAGGACTTGTCTGCTCTAGAAGGGGCGCAAGCGTTCTCGCGTGGATGCTCTTGCAGACGGTTAAGCGGCATGCCCCCTTTCGCCCCAGATTAACCGAGCTTCGCGTGCTCGGGCCAGCTTTTGCAAGGCACACGGATACCCAGGTCTGGGGGACCGATGATGAAAGTACGAGACTCGATCGCGGGGGGTATGCATTGCTGCCGTTCTCTCAACCTAGGACTGTTATCCATCCGGCCATGCACCATCGGTTTGCGTCCGTCACTGCCATGTCTGACGCAGAGCATCCGGCTTTTTGCGGATCATAGTACCTCACGAATTCGATGATTTTGCTTGAGAACCGGTCGTAACCATTGTGCTGTGCTGTGGTTTTCTTTTTTTGTGCTGTTCGCCTCACATGTTCTCCCGCGCATTACCACGGCATCTCCCTTGCCCCTAAGTTACATCCTGTCGCTCTCCCGGTCGGAACGACGACCATTCACTTCCTCTTGCGCTCAATAGCGTCCATCTTCTCCTCCAATGTCTGGACGTAGCTGCTGAGGCGCTGGACGGCAGCCTGGAGTGCCTGCAAGACCGGGATCTGGTTAGCTCTCGTAGGTTACGACTATCCGGGGACATGCCGGGGTCCAGGAAACGGTAGGGAGGGAACAGTGACGGAGAGAACAAGCATGCCGCGCACTGGACGGGCAGTCCACTGGGAAGGGAAATATGGTTTGCCACAACGCAAGAGGTACCACCGGTATCCCCCGCATTGCTCTCGGAAGAACGCGAGAAATGTGACAGTATGGACAGAGGGCAGGCCGGGGGGCACCTGGGGAAGGGACGTGTCAAATGCAGTGACGCACGTAGATATCCTCTGACAGGAGGTCGTTCGAGGTCTTGTATTCTTTGAGGATGTAGGAGTAGACGCCGGCGCCGGTAAGGGAGCTGCCGAGGAAGAAACCGAAGAGACTGTTGCACCCGTGGATTAGCTGTATGCTTCATTTTCCCCTCGGCACAAGGTTGAAACCAGCAGCCATCCATGCCCGCCCAGAGGACCTCACGAGACCACCCCTCCGATTGAGCGCGTGCTGGAAAGGCTAGACAGCTGCTGGGATAAGGGGCGGACAGGGAGGGGAGCTTGTGAGACGTACCCTCCGCGGAAAGCACCGACGGGTTTCCGGGCCGGAAGAGGAGCGGCGACGGCGTCGCGCAGGGGCGAGGAGGTCTGGAAGGAGCGGGCGGCGCGGAGGGGCAGGCCGGAGGCGCGGGGGATCGCGCGGGTGACGAGGCGGGAGGCCATCTTTGCGTTTTCGTTTGGGGCGGCAGCTGTTCGAGCAGCCGAAAGGGGGGAGAGTTGTCCACGAAGGTGGTAAGGTCGGTTGGATCTGACAGAGGCAATTGGCCGAGCTGCGTGCGTAGCTGTTGTTAAGGGTTTAGGTGGGTTGTTGTGGAAATGTGGTGATGGGATGGAGAATGGCGTAGACCAAGTCCGATGCGGTCGGTGCTCTCAGGCAAGGTAACTATTTGGGAAGAGCTCGTCCCCCAGTCCCCTCGTTACGTCGTTTCTGCGGCGCCGCTGCGGCGTGCAGCAGCACCTCAGGTACCAGCGCCGGCGCAGCGAAAAAGAAGAGCGGGATTAGCCGGGACGCCATTGGTAGGCTCCCATTGGCCAGAAGCTCACAGCTAGGCATAGGTAACAGGTTCCGGCTCAGGGATGTTGGGGACGTCTGGGGTGGCTTCATGGCCCACTGAAGAGGGTTCAGAAAGACACACTCGTCTTACGAGGATAGACCACGATGGAGTGACATATACGGTTTCTCTAGAGGGTTGTTTACAGACAAGTTTGAGATATTCATTATTTGGGTCTGGTGTTAAATTCGAGGTCGAGGTCAAGACTTGACTTACATCGTTCCGAGAGCTGGTCGCTAAACGTATAGGTATGTAAGTCTCTCGGTAACCAAGCCGACCCCATTGGCCAGAAACCGCCCATTCAACGCCGCCCTTTCTGATTCGCCAATAAAAAAGAAAGGTTCCAAGCTTGAGCAGCTCCAGCACGCGACCCGCCAAACTTCAGCCCAAAAAAGTATCAATTCACCACCACTCCTCCAACATTGACCCCCCCTCAATCCAAAGATGAACAACTTTGGAGTCTACGAGCTCGCCAGCGCAAAGGTCACATCCGCCCCGGGATGGGCCTACGTCCCCGACACGGGCGTCAACCCGGCCGCCGCGGCGCTCCAGCCCACGAACCGCAAGCGCGCCGCCCGCGGCAAAGCCAACCCGTCTGCCTCGGACCTCACCGTCCGCCAGGAGGCCAAGATCCGCAAGGAGCTCGAGCAGCTCGACCGCGACGGCGGCCGCGATGCCTCTATCCCCATCCCGGCCAAGGGATCTAGAGGTGAGTCTGTCGTTCTGTGCCTCGTCGCACAAGCAGCAGCAGTGGACTGACATCCCTTCCCCTTCCCCAGGCCAGAACAAGAGCACCCCCAACATTCGCAAGATCCTCCAGTCCCAAAAGACGTTCCACAACCACCTCGACGACTACCTCGCCCAGCTCTCCCACACCGACAACGCCCCCGCGCCACACCCGAACCAGCACACCCCCAGACCAGCCAACAAGCCCCCCCACCCGAACCAGCACACCAAGCGCAACGCCGCGAAGCGCTCCAAGACGTCGACGCCCAAGCCGACGCCCGCGGAGCCCGAGGACGTCGAGATGACGCCCGCGCCTCCGGCCGCCGGCGGAGAGAGTAACTCAACGACAGCAGGGGCCAAGGAGCCGGCGGACGACCCGGTGCTGGCTCCGTACGAAGGTCCCACGCCGGCCCCGCACCCGGGCGACGACGATCCCCTCCTCGCGTCGCGGGTGCCCGAGGCGCCGACTGACGAGGAGCTGCGCTGGCTTCTCGCGCAGCCGATGCTGAGCTTCTGGGACGCGCGCGCCGAGCCGGGCGACGAGGACGCCGCGCGGTACCCCGTGCGGACCTTCTGCGAGCTGTGCGGGTACTGGGGCCGCGTGCGGTGCATCAAGTGCGGGACGAGGGTGTGCGCGCTCGACTGCCTCGAGGCGCACCGAGAGGAGTGTTTCACGCGGTACGGGATTTGAGGATGGGCCACCTGGGGTCGACTTGCACTTGGGGTTCGGGAAAAGTCGGAAAAATTCGGAGCGGCGTGGGCGTTTGTCACCTGATTTGGCACGGACAGAGAGAAGCGTTATGATACCCCCACTACTGATGTTTGACATTGTGTCTTTCTTTTACGTCAAGAAGAAAAGAATGTGGCATTATTTGTTTGGAAGGCTCGGCCTTTCCTGTGGCTTTGTATTCGTGACTGGTTTCTAATGGTACATGTTTGTACGGGTATGCGAGATGCTCCATGCTCTCATGATATTCATATGTGTAGGTATATACGTTTGGGGAGGCTATGCGACCTTTGGGAAGATCGTCGAGCCTACCTGACCCGTCTCAGAGCCCAGCCTATCATCATCGTAACGAACGGAAAACCGGGACAGGGATATGCCACCGGCAGGGTAAGAGACACTCTTACTCCTGGGGGAATCAAAAACGAATGAAAGAAAAAAAAAATGACTCGCTCGGGTTGGGAGGAGAAAAAGCCGAATAATAATACAGTCACACACCCAAAAGTTCACCCCCTCACCCGCCGCCGTCTCAAAGTTCCAAAAAAGGGAACCCCCCAGCCGGACAACCAGCGTCTCACAGCTCGCTGCTGACGCTCTGGGAATTGACCAGCGTGAACTCGACGTTGCCGGAGGACGCGCCGCCGGCGCAGACGGCGCGGACGCTGCCGGTGAGGCACTTGTCGCGGGCGGCGCGGACGCACTGCTCCCACTTGGCCTTGGTGATGTTGATGGAGGCGCCGGGGACGGAGGTCTTGAGCTCGAAGCGCGCGGAGCCGGCCTGGCCGATGGTTGTGGCGGGGCTGCCCTGGCAGGCGGCGACGGAGCCCGAGATGCCGCCGCAGATGGCGAGCTCGGCGGCGTTCTGGTCGTGGAAGACGATGTGGCTGGGTCCGCGTGTTAGCGAGCTGGAAGAAAGAGCAAAACAGACCCCGTATGCGGGCGAGAGAGAGGGGGGGAGGGGGCAAGACATACGCGTTACGGTCGATGCAGGTCGCCTCCACTATGGCGGCCGGGTTCACGGGCTCCAGGCTCCGCATGCTGAGGACCTCAAAGTGCTGCTGGGGGACGGTGTAGCGGGGCCATTTGCGGCCTCCGGCCGGGGCTGCGAGGGCCGCGGTGGCGGTGAGGAGGAGGACGAAGGCGTGGATGACCGTGGTGAACATGTTTGCGGTGTGGGGTTGGTCTCTTTGATGTGTATTTCGCAAGATTCTTCGGACGAGATGTTCGGTGTAAGTCGAGCTCGGGGTCCGAGATGGTATATCTTATCTCGAGATTGGGGAACTCGTTTGGGCGACTTTTACTCTCTTGAAGCTCTTTCAAATACAAGACGGGATGGAGTAGGAGTCGAGAGTGACTGAAATGTTCGATATGCGAGTTGTCGTCTAGAACGGTGGGCACGAAGAGGAAGATAAAAAAAGGAAAGGTCCCTCGGAAGAATGAATGGAACAGATCACAGATCGTCTCGGTTTGAAGGGGCCGTGGGAAAAAGGGAAAGAAGGCAAACTGTCAAATTTGACCGGTTGCGAGTTTGCTGTTTGAGAAAGAAAGTAGGAGATAAAGTATCAACAACTTCAAGCTGCGCATAGGAATGAAATAGGTAGGGGGAACATAAGATGAGAGGCTTTCATGAAGGTGGACAGGCAAGCCACTAAGTAGTTTCGCAACTCGTCTTCTCGATTCCCTTCCCGAGCACACCACCAAGACTACCCACACCCCCTCCATGTCCCTACTCTAGACTCCAAGTACCTAGGCAGTTTATGGTCAACCCTGGTCCCCAGTCCCATATCCTACTGTGTACTCCGTAGGTAGTGTAGAGCGGGTTTTCCCATGTCGCAATCAGCAGACAAGGGGAACCTTCTTTTCCCTGGTGGCCCGATGATGGACTCGCTCCATTCGATCGATATTAATGGGCCCCCCGCCAGCCATACTGCGCCTGTCGAAGCAGCGGGTGGGAAAGACAGGTTGCACGTTGGTGACCTGTAACCTGCGGTCTTGCCGGCCACCCGGCCAAACGGGGACGGGGACGGGACTGGAATGAACCGCGCGAGGGCCACCTTGGTGTCATTGCTACAAGAAGAGGGAAACGGTTTGCAACTGTCGCCAAACTCGACTCAGGCCCCGTCCCAGTGTAAGGAGCGTTGTTGCTAGTGGACTCGGGCAGCTTCACGTCCAGCCACGATGACACTACCTAATATCTACTCCGTACTGTGGTAGGCTTCAAGGGGGCGCTAGGCACCGGGGCTTCTTACCACGAGGTGCCACCAAGGAGAGGCAGGATGGCTCAAGTGATGTTGCCAAGAGAAAAGGCTCAGAGCAAAGCACCTACCCCAAGTTCCTCTACCAGGTCTTCCAGGTTTCCCTTCCAGGACTTCTTACAAGGGAGGTGTTATCGCTCCCACTCTCAGATCGCACACTCAACTTGTTCGGGGGCAGTTGGTCGCATGGGGTTCGACACAGGGCTGCAGGGGCTATACCACAAATAGAGCGCCGCCACTAGGGGGACCACTGGGGGCCAGCCATTATTACGTTCTTCCGTTTCGCTGTCGGCAACAGCGGCGGCGCATGGCAACCGGCCAGCAGCTGCCGGGAGGGGGCTCATCGAACACTGCGTGCAGGGCCAGTTGACGACGAAAGTTTGGGCTAAAAGCGGACTGCGTGTCAGAGGGCGCCGAAGCAAGCAGCGCGAGAAAAAAAAAAAAAGTGGAAAAAGCAAACCACTGATTAGGGGGTGAAGAGGATGCGAGGAACAAGTTTTGGTGATCAGTTGGGGGCTCCGTTCAATTGGTATGGTGGCCCTTCACCCGAAGTCTCAAAGGTGAAACGGGGCCAGTAAGCCAGGCCGACGGGTGCGTGTGCGCACTAACCCCCAGCCCAAGCTTGGTCTTGAGTCTCTTGACAGTACCTAGCCCTAACGGACTACAGACGGTCACAGTGCGTGCGTACTGCCGCGTGCCCTCTCGTTGGACAGCAGCAGACCTGCCACTGCTAGTCGCGCGTCAGGGTTCAAGACTGTGGGTGGATGGGTGCCATTTTGAGGCATCTGAAACCCGGTGCAGTGGGGGGGGGGGGGGGGACCCCACCCCCGTGTTCCCGTGGTTATCTACTCCGTACCTACTCGGACGGCGCGACTCTGCTACTGCTTGCGGCTGATAATACCACTTGCCGCAGTTGTGCGGTCGCTCTGGCCGCCTCCCCCATTGGGCTTCGAGAAAGCAGTGCGACATGGAGTCTAGCCTAAGGGGGGTGTGGCTGGCCAAGGGTTCTTGAAGAAGGCTTTTCGACTTTCTCAATTTTTCCTTGGCTCCGTTTGGTAAGACGCGCGCAGAGGTTCAGGGCCTTTGGGCTGGCATGGGAGGGGAAGGGGGGTGGCAAAAGAACGGGGCCACCTGGCACCGGCCGAGTGAGACGATGTCATTGTGTGTTTTGCTCGAGCCACCAAACCCCAAACCACATACCTAAATAAACCACAATCCACAAACGACAGGGGAAGCGCTTGGCCTTGAGACACCCCTTATGCTGCTGGTGATGCTGCTCCCGGGATCAGTCATCTTTTTCCAGTGTAGCTGACGAGCTGTTGCTGGTCAACAGGATCATAGGATGTGCAAGTATATAACGATGTCCCGAGCATAGCCCTGAATTGTACAATTCGCCCCCCTTCCCCTGCTGCCGGTTGTGCTCCTCGGCCAACTTGTTTGTCCATGCGGATTGGTCATACTTTGCCCGTTTATTGGTCTTTTCAGGTACTGGGATTCCCCTTCGCCCCTCCTTTGGCGATCCCCGGACTGATGGCCGGACAAAAAAAACCGACCTGTTTGCTTCCGGGCTCGGTTAGCCCTCGCCCCCTCAATCGGCGGCCGGTTGATCATGGACACCATGAGCCTGCACGGAGAATCGCGAATTGTCTTGCATGACCATCGGCAGGGACGGCAGCGGCCCAAGCTGGAAGGACGGAGAAATCACCGCGGGTAAGTCCGTCCGTTGGCCACTACCTAACTCGCCATCTTTACCCCCGAATGTACCAGCGCCTCCCATCGATCGGCCGTTTTTTTTTTTTTAAACATGCCAGGTTCCGCTCCCTCTCCTCCATGTTTCGTGTTCATTGCCTGTCCACCCTCCCAACTACTATGTATGCTGCCGCCGGTTGTTTAGACGAACCCACCAGTAAACTCTACTTGAGGAAGTGACGTGCAAGCCTAAATGAACGAGAGCCAACCAGACAGACTGTTCTGCAGCGGTGACTTGTCCGATTTCCACAACGCTAATATACTGGGTACATGACAAAACGTCTAACAGGCTTATTGTTTCCTTGAATAACAAACGACCAATCTATCCCCGCGGGCCGAGGCCTCAGCTGACCTCTGCTCAAAAACGAGCCATATAGCCCTCTTTCTTGACCGATTGGCAGGTGGCGGACAGTACTGCTTGGTATCAACACGCGCTCAGCGCTCCATATCTCATGGTTTTCATTGCTTTCACCCCCCCTTGACTGCCGAGGTTAACCGCCACTCTCCAGATTACACAATGGTAACACGATGCTGTTTTTGTCCTCCACAAGCCGGTTTGTCTAGGTAATGCATCATATGTCGTGGGTTTTGCCCCCAACCCAGAAGTATATCTGTACTGTCACACTCAAATTTGCTTCTTGCTCTGTCCGCAAATTCCACAGACTCCAAAATCACCGGGGTTGAGATACTCGCTACCCTGGCACGCGGCGCTCCGGCATCGCCAGGCGTCCGGCACGCTCGCCGCGTCCAATACGTGTGAGCACACAGCGCACGTTATCGACAAGGCCGTGTTTGCAAAGGAGCAAACTCCGCAGACAACTTCTCCCTCAGTGGGCGCCGCCGTTTCTGTTGACACTGTATTCGACTGAGTTGTTTCTCCCGTGGCTGACTGCGATATTGTGTCATTCGCCGGTATTGGAGGGTGTGGTGCTAGTAAACAGGTTGCATCCTCTGCTTCTCTCTTGATTACGGGGGCTGCACTGGCGACGTTGGAAATTGGGGCCACCTGATCGGCATCCTCTTCCTCCTTCTTGATCCTGGTTCGAGGCGGTACCAATTGCTTTGGTGCTTGAGAAAAGTGCCCATTGTCTTGCGCGGGCTGTCCCACTCGGTTATTTGGCGCAGTAGCATCGGCGGTGTCCCCCTTGCATTTGAAATTAAGATGTGTCTGCCGCCATTGTTGTACTGAGTTTTGCAACTCCTGGAGCTCGTTCTGAGCATCCAGATCATCCGGGTTCTCGTCCTCGCAAACCTTGATCATGCCTCGACCTTTACCGTCAGTGATGGGTTTTCCATCAATGTCGACGGCATCCTCGTTCTTGACGTCCGCAGGGTCGTCTTCGTACTCGCTTTCGTCGCTGTCGTCCTCATCTTTGACCTCGAATTTGATGTCGTCTTCGCGCTCCTTCTTTTCCTGGTCAAACCGTGCGAGTGCTGCCGCTGCCCGCAACTCACGTCCTCGGGCACTTCCGGCCACGCGAGGTTTCGCTTTCGTGCGCTTGCCGCCCTCCAGCTTGGCCTTGGTTCCTTCATCCGCTCCAAGTGCAACACCGTTGGCGCCAAACTTCTTGAGGATCCGACGCTCCTTCTGCTCCCTGTAGGACAGCTTGGGCTTGATCTTCCTCTTGCGACCGCGAGATCGATATGTGCCGCCACAGAGGTGCTCTGGAAGCGGCTCATTGGGAAGTGCGACATTGTTCTGAAACTGCCCAGTTCCCAGCTGGACGCCACGGCCCCAAATACCGTCGCCAGAGTAACCTCGCTGCCAGAGTCCTCGTATCTGATCGGCATATTGGTTCCTCACTGCCCAGAAGGCTCTGGAATGGTTCATCTGTTTGCAATGCGCCAGCCTGATGCCATCAGCGTTAGACCTTCCTTTGGAATCGCTGGCGCATACTTACTCATGCATCATCACCATTTGAACGTACTCAAACGGCAACCATCGCCCTGACCGCGACTTTAGTACCAGCTGTATGATTTCACCAGCATTGAAGTTTCTTCCGACGAATTCCCGGTTTGGCTCGTACTCCTCCAAGGACATCACAGAAAGGTGGTGCTCTCTCATGATCGGCACTGGATGTTGATTAGCCAGGTCCCGAGGTTTGTGTTTGCGCAAGTCGCTTACAGCATTGAGCTGCTATTCTTTCAAGGAAATCCTGAGCAATCTTTTCATCGACTCCTTTCAAAGGCTTGATGAAGACGATCCGGTCATTTGGGTGCGACCGTCTCGCATTAAGCCGCTGGATGCCAATCGGCATAGTGAAGTTGAGATGATGAGTTCTTAAAGTGCCCCGTGTACGCTCTCGTAAGTTGACTTCCGATTCTTGTTGCGCTTGCCAAATTTGGGTGGTTGCCTGTCTTGGGATCTGACAGAGACGAAAAGCTACCACTAAATGCACGAGCGTCTCGAAGGGGCAAGAAGACAGAGCGGAATGACGCGCAGTCACGTGCCCCACTTCAATGGTGGTCAATGAGGTTTCCACTGGTGAGGCAGCGGCTTGTTCGGCCCAGCTGCATCTATTTGGTGCTTCTGGTCTTTTCTTTCCAAGCTAGACCTATCTGCATCACTCTGTATAAAATTCTTAACGCCTTCTCGCTCCCCCGGCAGCAGCAGCATCGCCCCTTTCTGCGAGGGACACAACCTCTGTGATACCAGCGGCCTCTTGCTCCTCTTCCAATGCCGTGATCTCCTCTCTGCAATCCCACCATTTTTCTTCACTGAGCTCGAAAGCCTTGGCCTTGATCTCCTTGATCGCCATCGTCTCGGGCTGAATGTTCTTCCAGCGGAGGTTGGTCATTAGAATCTCCTGCCACTCGTTCGTGGTGCGCACGAAGAAGTCGCGTCTGGACTCGAAGGGCTGCGTCATTGTCAGTACAGGGTTAACCCAAGATGATATGCCGTCGAACTTACTCTTGGGTGCGGGAGGCCATCGTCCACGGTCGCCTCTGCCTCTGTATCGTCATCCTCGGTGGTGCTCGTCGGCGCAGTCGAAGACGAAGCCACTGTCGTCTCAGAGCCGGTAACGGAAGCCTCGTCGCCCTGCTTCTTCTTGCGCTTGCTCGGCGTGTTGTAGAGCTTCTTCCTGTCTTCCTCCTCCATTTCGTCCTCTTCATCATCCTCTTCGTCTTCGTCGTCATCTTCATCTTCGTCGTCGTCGTCGTCGTCATCCTCGTCCTCGGATTCCTGGAACAACGTTAGCGGCGTGATAATGCTTTCTGGTATGCTTAGACTTACGACCCAGTCATCAACGGGCCTGTTGAAGATTTCTTTGCAGCCATCCATCTTTCCAAGGTCAATCGCGTAGAGGTCATCGAATGTGAACTCACGATCCTTTGCCTCGAATGTGCCGCCATAGATGTACAAAACATCGTCTTGCACCGCCAACTGGGCGTTGAATCGCTGATGAGGCAGTTCCATCGTTACAGGCATGTCTCTCAGAGGCTTTGTGTCCTCTTCGGGCTCCTCATCTTTCTTCTCAAGCTCTACGTTGTCGGCATCTTCTAGGGACTTGCCCGTCTCCAGGGCAGCCAACTGGCGGAGGAGCTCATCCTCACGATCCTGGGCTCGCGCGCGACGACCGCCGCGCTGTTCGGCCTGGTTGGCCTTCTTCTGCTGGCGAGCCTTACGAAGAACTAGGGGGAAGAAGCGGTTTCGCTCAATGTTCCATGCGAAGAGCTCCCTGAAGAACTCGCTGTCCATGCCTTCCTCGCTGTCTTCCACGTCGTGCACACCTCCAAACAAGATGCCACGTCCTTTGTGCCATGCCATGGTTGCACCCGCACGCTTGGGAGTAGGCGCATTGGCGGGCTTCTTGCGTCGTTCCCAGCGAACGATGGGAGGCGCGTTTGGAGGTAATCCGTCGGCAGGTAGAGACATTCTAAGGAAAAAACAGTCATCGTGCACCATCGGCTTCAGGACGTTCTTCGATCCTTGAGATGAGCCTCTGGCCTGCTTATTGGCCGCCACCGTAGCCTTGACTCTAGAGTAACCTCCGTACAGGACAGCGCCTTGCTCGTGAGGCAGTAACGTGAAAGAAGACCTTGCGTCAGGCTTTAGCTGCGCAGGAGGCAGAGTCGGGCTGTACCACGTAAAGCTCTGGGTGTCAAAAATCCACAAATCGGCAAGGTACTTGGTCTGGTTGGAGGTGTCCTGGAAGCCACCAAATAAGATGATGTACTGCTTCCAATATGTCATACGGTGACCACTCCTTGCAGGGGGTGTCTTGCCCTTGCACTCAATCTTCGTCCACTCTCTCGTAGCGGGCTCCAACCGCCAAAAGTCTGAGTAGTGGTGAAAAGTTCCCTGCTTCGGCGACGAGAACTCTCCTCCAAACAGATACACATGGCTCGGATTGGACGCTCTTGTCCACGCATGTCCGGAACGTGGCAAAGGGGCGTTTGGGGATGTCACGCACCTCCACTCATCTCGGTCGATGTAGTAGATGTGCAGGTCGTTGAAGAAATGCGCCAAGGAACCGTTAAAGTACTCCCCGCCAAATAGCAGCAAGTTGTTGCGGTCACAAGGGGAAGGCATGATAGTGGAAGCGGAGCGGGCCTTGGGCGGTCCCTCGCACACGGTCTCGGTGACTTTGAGAAACTGCTCCTGCTGCTTCCGGTACTCCTCGAGCACTTGCTCAAGGTCGACATCCTCGGCATCACTGCCCTCGAGCTTTGCGATCTTGGTCTTGGCCTTTTTCTCACCCTTGTTGGCCTGCTTTTGCTTCTTTGCAGCCTACTCCATGTACGGTTAGGCAACTGGCGGTCGTGGGCAACGGATGCGGTGGTGGACGTACTAGCTTGGCCGCCTTCTCGTCGTTCTTCCCCTTCTTAGCTTTCGCCATGATGGAGGATCTTTAGAGGGGATTATCGACCGTGGAATGTGCTGGCGGATCAGGACAAGTGTTGACTTAGATTCGGTGACGTCGGCGGGGTGAATATTAGCATGAGAATGGTGGTGGGGTTCATGGCATTGGAAAATTTAGTCGAACGATGAGGGGCAATTCACATTGGCCAATACAGTTCTCACGCTCCCGCAATCACTGTGCAGTTCTCCCTACGGTCACTTGTAGAGACAGTGCGAAGTCACTGGTGCTGAGTCCTGCATTGCAACACCATTGCATCCGGACGCCAACCACGGGTTTGCGAACGGCACTTCAGCAAGCCTAGCCCAAAAACCTAGGAGGTCTGCTTGCACATTCGCCGAAGAGCCATTTCCTGGTCCCTGGTACCAGGCACGGTGACGACTCTGTAGGTTTCGGTGTCGCGTGCTGCCCTCGCCGCTCGAGCGATCCCATTAATGACGGCGCTTGCTTGGCACGGGCTGAAGGTTGGCAAGTTTGGCTGGTCAATTGCCTCAGCTCTAACACGATGGCTCGGACAACATCAGTACCTACCCAGCTGTTCACGTAAAAGGCCGCAAAGTTTCATTCTGAGGCACTTCTCGCCGACTTTTGGGATGACGGGGGAGTGCCAATCAGCCACGCCGGAGCTTTCTGAGAAGCAGAAGTGGAAGCGGAAAGCTTTGTTCTGAACTATCTAGCTAGGCAGGTCTCAGACCAACTGCTCCATGACGCTACTTTCAAGACAGTCTACTTCGATCGCTCTAGGGGGTTCTAGTGCAAGTGCAGAGTGGTTGGTTCGTATGCAGATAGGCGCTCAGCATCGTAGGGCTCGAGCTCGCAGTCGGACAACAGGTCATGCCACGGTTCCATGATACCGACATGATTGCAGGCCAACATCGTGTTGATGGTTCCTGATACCTAGCTGTTGATATAAGGAGCCTAAAGAAGTAAGTCAGATAATCACATGCAAAGTGGACGCTCAGAAAAGAAAGGATCAAGGTGACTAGGAATCTTTTCTTCCTATCAAAATTGTGCAGAACGTGCATAAAAGGGGCAGCTTCTGTGCTCAGGGGGGACAGCCGTAGACTGCAGCCGCCTGTCGGCATGTGCAGTCTCACGTCATCGTTATTCGCGACAGCTTCCGGGGGGGTGGGCCGCCAGCTGCCGCTTTTCCACGTCCCTCCACGTTCGTGTCTGCGCACCACCACACAACACCAGCCATCAGCCTGTCCTCGTTTCGCAACATCAGGCTACTACCACCAAAACAGCCTTTCCGTTCTCTTTGTACATTCCTCCGCCTGCCCTCTCATAGACTTCTGGACCCTGTGCGCCCAAAGTTTCCGATCATCGCTGCTCAAACCACCGCCATTGCTGAATCAAGCCTGAGGGCGTCCGCTAGCACAGGGGAAGCTCGCTCACCTTAGCTCACGCCCACGACGCACGCCCGTCCGAAGTCCGGCCCTGCCACTGTCCGACGCCGACGCAGCCATGTCTAACTTAGGGGACGGACCCAAGGTCGCTGTCATTCCAGGTAGGAGACACCCTACATAAACACCATCCTTCTCCGCACCTCTTTACATAGGCTTCCTTCAGATGTTGGTTTGGATCTTCGACATTGGAATCAGAGCCGCCATCAAGAGTACAATCCGCAATCATGCCTCGCAAGAAGAACACGGCCCGATCCAAGTCGCCATCCAAGGGGCAGTCTGTCAAGTCGTTTAGCAACCCTCAGCTAGCTTCGCAGTCAGTCGAATCGGGGAACGCCAAGATTAACATTGTCGCAGAAGCTCCAGAGCTTGGACCAACCCAGACCTCGACCAACGACATCCAGCGGCCTGCTACCGAGAGGCAGGAATCTAGCCATGAATACAGTGCCACTGTAAGTCAGAAGAAGTGCAGTCGCAGTTTACTGTCTGCTAACAGTCTCTCTAGGGCCCAGACGACACCTCGAAAACTCCGACTCGGGGTCATCGACAATCACCTTCCGCTGTGATGAGAAATGACAGCAAAGTGGATGACGAAAGCAATGGACATGCTGCGGATCCCGAGAAAAGCTATGGAAGTGAGGGAACTGCCGACGAGACTCTTGTCGATGGTTTCGAAGTCGACAGGTCTGATTCGACAAGCGTGAAGGCGATGAGCGACGACAGCTATCCGCGTATCGCCTCAGGAGCCCAAGGTCGCAGGTACAGCATGCACGGGCAAAAGGCGGGCGGCATCCGCTTCGCTCCCCTCCAAGTACCCTTCCAACGCCGCTTGCAGACGGCAGCTGTCTTGTTCCACGGTTTATCGATTCTCACATTCGTATCGATCTTCTTCTTCCTCGCAGCGCTTCCCTTTGCTTGGCCCCTACTGGTTCCGTACCTCATCCACCTCTCGCTGTCCGGCGTGGCCTCCAATGGCAACCTCACATACCGCTCAGAGTGGTTACGCTCGCTTCCCATGTGGAGGTTCTTCGCGGACTACTACCCGGCTGCGCTTCACAAGACACATGACCTGCCACCAACCCGGAAGTATATTTTCGGCTATCATCCTCACGGGATCATCTCCCACGGTGCCTTTGCTGCGTTTGCGACGAACGCTCTTGGATTTGCAGAGAAGTTTCCTGGCATCACCAATTCCCTGTTGACCCTTGACAGCAATTTTCGAATCCCATTCTACCGCGACTATATCCTGTTCATGGGCGTTCGATCTGTGTCTAAGGAGTCGATATGGAACACATTAAGCAAGGGTGGCATCAACGGAGAGGGAATGGGTCGGGCAGTGACCATCGTTGTCGGCGGTGCTAGAGAGTCCCTGGAAGCTCAACCAGGCACCCTCAGGTTGATTCTCAAGGGCCGCAAAGGCTTCATCAAGATGGCACTGCGAACTGGGGCTGACCTTGTGCCTGTTTTGGGCTTCGGCGAGAATGACCTCTACGACCAGCTTAGCCCGAAGTACCACCCCTGGGTACACAACTTTCAGATGTTTGTGCTCCGCGTCTTCAAGTTCACACTCCCGGCGCTTCACGGACGGGGTATCCTCAACTACGATGTGGGCATGATGCCTTACCGCAGGCCTTTGAACGTTGTTGTGGGCAAGCCTATCAAGGTCACGACGTCCCCTACAGCTCAACCGTCGCAGGAAGAAATCGATCGGTTGCACGGCCTGTACGTAGCCGAGTTGCAGACGATTTGGGACTCCTACAAAGACCAGTTTGCGCCCGACCGTAAGGCCGAGATCCAGTTCATTGCTTAGATGATCTTTTCAAGATGGGCAAGAATAACCCTTTTCCTTATGTATACAGCTTCAATTTCGGAAAGTCTTTTCCCCTTTGTCATCCTCAGGAAATCAATCGCAGGAGAATAATGGTTGGATTTCGGCGTCAAGAAGGTTAGGCGGAAAAAGGATGTCGAAGAGTTGACAGACACTGCATTAGTTAATAAACTCTCAATTGACAACCTGATGAAATACAATCCATTTCAGCCCGTATGAACGTCGTCAAACAATCCCGCTAGTAGTGCAGATCAAATTGGGTCTGATCGGAGAGAGCTCGCAAGGCCGGAGCAGAGGTAGGTGTTCAGCACGCACGGACACTGAAACTGCAACCCTCTAAGCTTAGATCTTGCTTTTAATCAAAGTCACCTGATCTCGCGCAAGGCAAGACGCGAATCTTGACGCGCCTATCCCTACGACTAGTTTTGCTTTTCTTTGTCTCTGGCTCTCGTTGCCCAGGTTGCACGTCAATTCACACTTTTTTGCAGGCTTACGATATTGCAACACGTTCTTTTCCTGCAATTTTTCCGGCCTGCGACGAATCAAAAAATGCCTCCCCGCACCTCTGCCCGCAGAAAGGCACAAGTTGTAGCTGAGACCAAGGTCGAAGAGACGGCGACGATAACCACCAAGACGAACGGGACCAAGGGCACGACCGTGGCGGCAACAAAATCCAAGACCACGACATCCAATAAACCTGTCTCGAAGCGTAAGGCGGCGTCGGACGACGAGCACGAGAGCTGCGGGAGTTGCGCCGAGAAGGAAGAAGAAGAGAAACCCGCCAAAAAGCGGAAGACTGCGCCCAAGGGCAAGGCGAAGAAGGAGGACGACATGCCGCTGGCGGACCGGACGGCGGTGTCTTCTCTCAAGAAGGCGATGTACATTGGTGCGCATGTGAGCGGTGCTGGCGGTATGTTGCTCGGCGATCCATGCAGAACGATTGGAACTAACGTTTGACGTCGCAGGCGTACAAAACTCTATCCAGAATGCCCTTAATATCGGCGCCAACGCCTTTGCACTGTTCCTGAAATCACAGCGGAAGTGGGTGAGCCCTCCGCTGGCAGCGGATGCGAAGGAGCAGTTCGTCTCCCTGGCAAAGGACAATGGATACGACGCCGCCGCCCACGTCCTCCCCCACGGCTCATATCTTGTCAACCTCGCTCAGGCGGACGCCGACAAAGCGAAACAGGCGTACACAAGTTTCATTGATGACCTCAAGCGGTGTGAGCAGCTGGGCATCAAGCTGTACAACTTCCACCCTGGTAATACGGGAGGCGCGTCGCGTGAGGAGGCGTGCGGGCGTATTGCGGCGCAGCTGAATAACGCACACAAGGCCACGAAGAAGGTCATCACAGTGTTGGAGAACATGGCGGGCGCGGGGAATGTCATTGGCACCAAGTTTGAGGACCTGAAGCAGATTATCGACAAGGTCGAGGACAAGGAACGGGTTGGTGTGTGCATTGACACCTGCCACGCCTTTGCGGCAGGTTACGACCTGAGGACGCCCGAGAAGTTCCATGAGACGATGAAGGAGTTCGATGAGGTCGTCGGCAACAAGTATCTCATGGCATTCCATCGTGAGCTTCGCCCACCCCTTTCCCCCGATTTGTGCGAGTATTCTGACGAGTCACAGTCAACGACAGCAAGGCCCCCTTTGCATCCCACCGCGACCTACATGCCAATATCGGCACAGGTTTCCTCGGCCTGCGCGCCTTCCACACGCTCGTCAATCACGAGCCCTTCCAGAACCTCCCCATGGTCCTCGAGACGCCCATCGACCGCAAGGACGCCAACGGCAAGACGGTCGAGGACAAGAAGGTGTGGGCGGACGAGATCAAACTGCTGGAACGGCTGATCGGCATGGATGCTGAAGGCAACGAGTTCAAGGATCTCGAGGAGGAGCTGCGAGGCAAGGGCGACGGCGAAAGAAGCAAGATTCAGGACCAGGTCGACCGCAAGGCGGAGAAGGATGCGAAGAAGGGAGCCAAGGGGGCGAAGAAGGGGGCGGCGGGGAAGGGGAAGAAGAAGGTTGAGACTGATGATGAGAGTGAGTAAAGTTGTGCATGGTGGGGTGTAATTGCTTGTAAACTTGTATTATACAGGGCCGGTGGACGCGTGTATGGGTACACAGAGTGCTCACGGCAGAGGACCGGGAACACAATCCAGTCTTCACGGGCAGTCTAATGACTGACGAGACACACCAAGTTGGTTTTTCGATATGAGAGAGCGAGACCTTTGGGACTAGGAACGCATCGGGGGCTGTTTCTTCCGTTTCTCGGCACGCGTCGCCTTGGGAGCCAAGCAGCCAAGCAGCTTAGCCCGCCCTGAGCCAACGGGGAGCCCCGTGGCTTGCGCCCGGCTTCCGTGGGCGGCAGAGGGCTTGCGATGACGATGTATATGCAACTAGTTCAACCGAGTGAGTCGGCGTTGCGTTCCCCCTTGGCCTTGGGCCCTCTCCATCCACACCAACGAGGACTTATAAAACTGGGGCAAAGGTCCTTCCTTGACTCGGAACATCCTCACGCGCGACATCCATTGCATGTCCCTAAGCCTCGTCTCTGCTTCGAATGGGCGTCCCCTTTGTCAGGACCAAAGACATCCCTTCCCCTTCCCATCCACGAAAAGAAAAAGAAGAGAGGGGGAAAGGTCTGGTATATGGAGGCTGGAAACCATCCCTCTCCAGACTCACGGCTCAGGCGAGCCGCCCAGATCAGCCTTCTGAGGTCCAGCCTCTCCGCGGCGGTCCACTGCTGGCTCGCCATCGGCCAAATTATCTACAGCCCTGCGCCCCTCAGCAACGATTTCGTCTTCTTCGGCGTGCTCCTTCTCTACCTCCAGCTCGTCATGTTGCTGGACGCCCTCGACACGACCGCCAGGCTGTGGCGACCGGGCCGGGGCAAGGCGCTGCTCAAGGCGGTGATTGTAGGCTTCAGCACCGCGTTGGCGTACGCCATTCTCGCGGCCGGGGGCTGTGCGCGCCAGGGCCAGTGGCTTTGGTGGGCGCTAGCCGGCGTCTTCGGCGGGGTCGGGGTCTGGCCCCCGGGTCCGGTAGCGGCTGGAGAGGACCGCGAAGACGGATGAGGCGGACCGGCTTTCTCGCGTTGGAGAGGGAGCGGATATACCCGTAGTATATGTGTCGACAGGCAAGGGAACACCAAATGAGTGTGATGTCCCTCCTTGGTCGACTTTCGGACTTCTAATTGATGCTCAGGTCACCCCGGCTTATACAGACTCCCCTCTGCCCTTTTTTTTATACACAAACGCACTGCTTGGCAAGCCTACCTTACATCCTGTTATGACAGAGCAGAAGTACTATAGTCTATACCAAATGTAGGGGCGGGAGAATATCTGTATTGCATTTGGTCATCCTTTTATAATGGCCGAAAGACAACTACTGGAACCAGCAAAAATGTAAATGCAGTTTCTTCGCTGAAGGAAACATACAATGAGAGTGGGGTAGGAATTATGAACAGGTACCCCAGTGTATCCCATTGAGTGCCAAGTGACCTCACATAATCCAAAAATGGGTCTATGTAAATAATTACCGACAGCTATTGGACAGTCAGCCTGGATTGCTGTACACTTATTGGCCTGAGGTTATGTGAGGTCACTCGGCGCTCAATGGGATAGCCTTTGATACATATTTGCGGACAGTTAGAACATTGTCTTCTAATTGCTCAAACAGGCCGAATAGCTATTGAAATCGTCGTACCTATGAATGGCCAAGCTAGCCACTTTTCAACACATCGCTATGCACAAATACCAAGACGCTACTGTGCACGGAATGGGCGCGAAGGCAAAAAAGCGGTAGACACATGTTCAAAAATCATAACGTCGATTTACCCGCAGACCATAACGCAAAGCAAAGAGTCGACTAAACGCGCAAGAGGTATATAATCCCTATCCCATGGAACGTTCCAAAGTGTCATTTCGTTGTGAACCCCAAACCCTTTTACAGCTCGTCATGGCCTTCCTCCTTGGCCTCCTTGGTCTTCTCTTCCTTGGCCTCAGTGGCAGCAGGGGCAGCCTGGCTCTCCTCGGCGCCCTCCTCCTTGATGGAGACCTCGGCCTTGTACTTGCCGTTCTCCTTGACGAATTCAATCAGGTCCTCAATGGAGCGGGAGCCGGAGTAGGTGACGGCGGCATCCTTGCCACCGGCGGGGTAGAGCTTGATGGTAGGGAAGCCCTGAATCTCATCGGGAACGTCGTTGGCCGTGGCATCAACCTTGGCGATGACAACCTTGTCCTTGTATTCGCTCTTGGCGTACAGCTCACCAAGCTCCTCGTACTTGGGGGCCAGAGCCTTGCAGTGACCGCACCAGGGGGCGTAGAACTCAATCAGGACGTCCTTCTTGTCGTCAAGGACAATCTGGTCGTAGTTCTTGGCGACAACGACAGCGACAGGGCCATCGTTGGTCTCAGGGATAGGCTCAGACTTGATGCTGGGCTCGATCTTGCCGGAGGAGAAGTCTTCAACGAACTTGGCAATATTGTCGTGGGTGATCTTCTTGTCCTGGTCAAAGGGGAACTTCTGGTTCTTAACCGTCTCCTGGATAGCGAAAGAAGGGAACTTGTCGGAGGCGAGGTTGAGGTTGCCGGCGTGGGCACCGAACGCATTGGCGTCGATGGTAGCGAAGTTGATCTTACCACGGTACTTCTCGGCGATGGGCTTCAGGGCGCTGCCAAGCTCCTCACGCTCCTCAGGGGTCTCGGCGAAGATGTAGGCAAGAGGGATGCCGGCGGACATGTAGCCAGAGTAAGTCTCAGGGCCAACCTCACCGATCAGGGGAGTAGCGGCGGTCTGGGCGAAGCTCTCAATAGCCTCGGCGTCGAACTTCTCAGTAAAGGTAGCCTTGCCCTCGTCGAAAGACTTGTAAAGGACAATGGCAGGGGCCTTGACGCCCTCAGCCTCGGCAACAGCGGCATCGTTGACGCCACCAAAGAGGTAGGTGTCGCGCAGCTTCTCGGCAACCTTGCTGAAGGTCTCGTTGGAGGCCTTGTCGGAAGCGTCGATGTAGGCGACGAGGACGACCTTGTCGGCTGTCTTGAACTCCTCAAGGGTGTCCTTGGAGAGGATGGAGACGGCAGGCAGGGACTGCTTCACCATGTAGGAGGTGATGGCAGCAGCCTTGCGCTGACCGGAGTATGGGGAAATGTTATCAGCGCCACGGAAGACCTTGAGGGTGGGGTAACCCTCAACGCCATACTCCTGGCAGAGGTCGGCCTCCTCAGTACAGTCGACCTTGACGAGCTTGATGTTCTTCTCCTTGAGGGAGGTGGCGGCCTCCTCGTACTCGGGGGCAAGGGCCTTGCAGTGACCGCACCAGGGAGCGAAGACTAGACGGGAGGGGTCAGAGTTGGTCCATGGGAGCAATAGGTAAATAGGTGCCGTAGGAAACTCACATTCGGCGAGGACGAGGTCGTTGGCCTTGATGAAGTCATTGAAGGTATCCTTCTTCAACTGGGTGACATCAGAGGCGGAAACCGCGGCAGCAGCGGCCAAGAGGCCAAGGGCAACACGCTTGCAGAACATTTTGACCTTGAAAGAGGAGCGTTAGAGTTTGGATACTGTATGGGTTGCGATTGTGGAAATGATAGCTTGGGGGGGCAAAGGAGGGAAGGCGAGGGAAGCAACCAGAGTAGGTCGACCAGCACGGCAGAGGATAACTGTCATCTTTGATCTGGCTACGGTGGCTGATGTTCGCTCCTGTTGTGTTGGGAGGATGGAGCTTTGGTGGGGAGACGACTACTGTGCTTACCTTTCTTTGACCTGAAGAATCAACAATGAAGAAAGAAAGAGAAGTCACTCGTGGAGAAGGCAATGCTGTCAAATCGAACTTTGGCCCACGGTAGATGGGAGAGGATTTGGTCTTAAGTAGTGGGCGCCAGAGGTTCTGGAGAAAGATTTCGGATTTCTTAGGGGCAATTGAGAACAGGTGTCCCTTTTCCCAGGAACCGCCCCGTCAAACTATGCATTCACTAAAGCGGCTGCAGTGTTTGTAGTGGGTGAATGGACTGAGGGGCGTCGCTTCTTTTGGGGGCATGTACCCAGATGTCTCATCGCTGACGATTCCTGCCGAGGGGTACATGATCAAACGTCTCAGTACTTACCCCAATCCACCGGCGGGCCCGTGCCTTGCTCATATGAGGGGCAAACTAGGCCACACCCCTCCCTTTCAGGCACTCCCTACCGTTTGGCCGCATTCGCATCAACATATACGGTGAATTGATAATCAAGGTCAAGCCAGGCTGACGAGCGGTTTAGCAAATGAAGCTAAGCTAGTTACCAATTTTGCTTACAGAGGAAGGTAAGCCTGACGTGTTATTCATTATTCAACTCACCTCCTAGGTAGTCTATCTGGCTCAAGACAACGATGTACGAAATATCCGTATAGTGTCTGTATATAGCAATACGACCCGCAATTCTCACCTCTTGTCAGCGGCCAAGCCGACGGACACAGGCATCACCGCTCGAACGCAATACCCGATACACCCCCTTCTTACGCATTCCGCTCAACGCCTGAGCGGTCTAAGACAGACTTTCATTGATTGACAGGACGTGCTTGGTAATGGCAATTGACACGGCACAGGCGCGGCAAAGCGCGGGCTCAGGTCCCACCCAAACCTTCCATTCCAGCTTCTCCCAGTTCAGCCCGGACCAACGCAGTGCGCACCAGGCTTGGGTTGGTTGTCAACCCCGGAATGTAGGTGTGTGTGTGTGTGTGTGTGTGTGTGTGGCGGTGGTCTCATTTCCTTCCCTTTGTATCACCTCTCTCCTGCCCTCCGTACTCTATGATGCCGCCCAAAGGGTCTTTACGCGCAGGATTACAGATGCAGATGCTACCTACCTAGGTACTCCGTAGTGACAGTTGACACGTAGTGTAAAGAGATAGCCAACAATGCGGTTCCATCGTTTCATGGGTGGCAAGGGTTCCCAGAATTTCAGAGGACTCCTTTCCACGTTGTAAGCCAGATAGGCCGGAAGCTCTGCAACTTTGATTGTCTTGTTCCTGCTGTGACCACAAGGTGTATCATATTTCGCCTTAGTATCCGTACTAGCCAAGGATCCCTTTTTCTCCACTAGCCGCCAGGCCCTGCCGGCCACCCGCATGACAAAAAAGATGGCACACCTAAACACTCTATGCACTGTTATAAACAGCACAACACTAAATATAAATACATAGATATACATATATAAAATAGTCAGAATTAATATCGGTATGTTCTACCTACTATCAAATATATTTTTCCTATATCCTAACTGCGTCTTGTGGCTGTGTTAGTATAAGAAAAAACACTTGTTAATAGTCTTGGGGTAGATGTGGTGTGAGAAAGTACTTTAGGTGTGCCATCTTTCCTGTCATGCGGGTGCCGGCTCAAAGGCCCATCGGCAATGCTACCGTTGAGGCTGATCACTAACCAGATATGGCCACCCTCGGCAGCTTCTCATTCGGCGCTTCCCTTCCAGCTCGATGCATAAGTAGAGGTAGCTCACTACGAGCTTCAGCTACCTATTATACCATCCCACCTTACTACTTAGTAGTGTACGGATACGTGTACACTTCTATGTATGTATGTATGTGGATACCGTGGTCAAATCAAGAGTCTAACATTCACCATCCAGTTCATCTGCCTGGTCCGGTCTGGCCTGGCTATACACTGGAAAGACAGAGTCGCCGATAGTCTTTACCATAAACCCCATCTTCACTTATGGGGTTTTGCTCTATTGGAACTTTGAGAATAGTCCGGAAGGCTACCCAAAAATGGATCGTTTCCATCATGCCAGATACTCATCCTGAACAGGACAGACCTAGCCGAAAGAATCCTAGGTCTCCGGCCATCAAACCACACATGAGATTTGCCTCCAAACGTGTAACTAGGTACCTAGTTTACGAATACATGGCATTCTGCAGCTGCCTGGCCTGGTGGACCCGTGTCCCGAACAGCGCAGCGGCTGACATGCTCCGTGTTGCCCCAGATCCTCCTCCCCTGCCACCGTTGTTCCCTCAGACCCGAATAGTCCTGCGTATGTGGGGCGAAGTAGAGTGTAAATGACCGGATAAGACATGGTTTGGCTCATA